TATAATTAGAAAAGCATAATTTTTTGGTTCGTTTCCGGCTTTCAAAACAAGTAATAAATTCTCAGTTTGTTGATCGGTTTCCTGTTTTTTTTAGATCCGTTTCCGTAAATTTTTGGTCCTTTTCTAGTTTTCAGAAAAAAGTTATAAATTTTCAGTTTGTTGATCGGTTTCCTTTATTTTTCGATCCGTTTCCGTAAATTTTTTATCCTTTTCTGGTTTTCAGATAATGTTATAAATATTCAGTTTGTAGGGCATAAATGTACATGTTAAAAGTACATTAGGCTGCAGGGCTTTATCTAGAAATTTTGTGACAGATTAAAGACCTAACTTTGTGGCAGATTTTATGAACTAGGATACTTTCATAGCAGATTCATGTGTTTAAATGTTGTGGCAGTTTTTTAATGTGTCTTTTCTCGAATTACAAGTTTACAAGTAATTTATAGAGAAGCCTTTGAAATTGGCAGCTTCTCTTTGTTTCCTTGCTTTTCTGTATCAATGCTTTTTAAAAGCTAGATATAAATTTGAGAAATAACATCGTCTTCATTATAAATTGCTATAATCCCCTACCACCATATATACAATGAATTGATAAGACAATTATTTTCTTTGTTTTTATTTGTTTTTGACAAAATATATTTTTAATTTTTAATTTAATCTACATTTTTTATATTTTCTTCTTTGATTTTTCGAAAATTTAACGTGTTTTTATTAAATAAAGAAATTAAACCGAAATTTTGTTTTTGATTTCAATTGGGAAGATCAAAAAAAGCGAAAGCTGAGAATTTAAAACTTACTTAAAAAACCAGAAACTTACCAAAAATAAGTGGAAACGGATTGTAAAAAAGGAAACCAACCAACATGCTGAAATTTTTTTACTTTTTCTGAAAACCGGAAACGAACCAAAAATTTGCGGAAACGGATCAAATAAAACAGAAACCCGACCACCGAACTGAAAATTTATCACCTTTCTGAAAATCGGAAACGGGCAAAAAATTTGCTGAAACAAATAGAAAAAAAGGAAACTGACCAACAAACAGAAAATTTATAACTTTTTTAAAACCCGGAAACAAACCTAACATGTGTGGAAACAGATCGAAAAAAAGGAAACCAACCAACAAAATGAAAATTTATAGCTTTTCTCAAACACTGGAAATGAACCTAAAATATGCGGAAACGATTCGAAAAAAAAACAGGAAACCAATCAACAAGTTTTCATGCTTTCTCTGTTAACCGGAAACGGACCAAAAAAATATTTAGGGGAGAAGCATGGGCCAATTTCAGTAGGTGCTTGATCCACCTACAACATCCCCCCCCCTCCATATTCTCAGAACCATAACTACTGCAATTAAAATAATTTTTAATTAAACATTATCATAACAGTTCTAATGTAAAGGTTAAACATACTCGGAGAGTACACACATGCTCTGCCCAATTGTTGTGGGTTTTGCTTAGACTCCGCAGTCTGCTAGAACAGGCAGGAGGCCAAGGGCTACTGCTATTACAGGCAAGGGACCAAGAGCTACATATTTTACAGGCAAGGGGCCAAGAGCTACATATTTTACAGGCAGGGGGCTGAGGGCTACAGCTATTGCACGCAGGGGGTTGAGGGATACAGCTATTGCAGGCGGGGGGCCGAGGGCTTCAGCTGTTAACTTCTAAGAATTTTGATTNATAAATAAATACTAATTTGTTCATGTACAAAATTACAAGGAGGGGGGCCGGGGGGGGGTCCTATAATCGTTCTTCAGGACAGACCCGTCGCAGCGCCCGGTCCCTTAGCATTTCTTAGTTGCGGTGCTTGGCCCCCTAGCCGCAGCGCTCGGCCCAGTAAGTGTCTAAACCTTACATTTTGTATTTGTATTTACTTTAGTAATCATCTGCTATACTTTATACAATTTATTTAATAGAAATTGTAATTCTCTTGTCGATCCAATTTTCTAAAGAAAGAATGAATTAAGGGTCTGTCTTAGGAAACGGTTTTTCGTACCGCGCTGTCCATTTTGCACATGGCTAATATTTTTCACACACATACAACAATATTTATTTTTATTATTACAGGTCAGGCTAGATTAAGACAATTTCTAGTAGGCTGAACGCTGCGGCCACATTTCTTTCTTTCGCCATATTTAGCATATAAGCTCTGTAAAAAATGGATTAAGGGGGAGAGGGGGGTGAAAATTTGCATTTCCTATGAAATTACCGCATTTAGGTGTACACATGTTATACATTCATGTTTCGCGAGTGTTTTAGTACCTTACTTGGACCTCGCTAAGTATCCAAGTTAGTTTTAGCTATTCAAAGACCTTCTAATTCTCTCTCTCTCTTTATCCTAGTTTTTTTTTTCTACCTAGCCATCTTTCTCCCTTCCCCTTGAATCAACACTTGGGTCTTCTCTCTTTATTCTTGATCCCAATATAGAGTTGCTAAAAATACAGGGGGTTAATTTTATGAACACACATATTTTTAGGAATGTATAAAATCAAACATGAAGAACAAGATTTAGATTGGACTTTTTTCAATTCTTTGTGGAGAAAATAAATAAAAACCTTTCAGTGCGGGTATCAGGTTACAGATACTTTAGTGGAAATAATCACTACATTTTGTATTCTGTAATTATTTGACTTGAAAATCAATCATGATTTGCTTAGGGAAAGTAGACATTTTAATAATTCAATGGAAAAAGCTTTGATATAAATATTGCTTCCCAGCCACCACTTTAACATAATATTTTACAGTAAACATAAACAGTATTTTTATTTTGTGTATCTCCTGGGACTTTCTCTCTCCTCCTCTTTATACAGGAACATGAAAAATATAGATATAATTAGAAAAGCATAATTTTATGCAGAACAATTGACATGGTCCAATTAGAGTCAACCACAGTCCTCATGAATATTTTGCAAATATTCCCTTTTATTAAAAGTTTCAGATTGGAAGGTCGGAATGTCGACGGGGAAGGATGCTAAGGTTGGAGACAGGGTAGAGCTCGCGGAGAAGGATTGCGCGGGGAAGGTAATTACTAATTATTTGTAGTACAATGAGAACCAGAATATTGAGGAATAAATGACGTCTATGTTTATTTACTTATCAAGTTTCGCGAATTATATTGTCATTTGCAATGACAACTTTCTCTTACTGCAACTGGTTCATTTCTAAGAATGTCAATGAGATTTTTTTACTAAGAATTTGTTCCTTTGTACAAACACCTTGGCGACATTTATAATTAAAAGAATTTTTTTCTGGTTCTCATGGTTAGATAAGTATCAATTAGAGCTTGATAGAAATGTTTGCGCAGAGCTCATGTACAGTTTTAGGGTTTTTACTTTTTCATCGCTGAATCGGGGACATGAATGAACTTCTGGGTAACATGTCAGGGGTACGTGCATATTATCTAGAAAATTTCAAGAAAAAAAAAAATAGGTTCTGATAACGGGGGGTTGCTTCTAAGTGGTCCCAGGAAACTCCCCAGCTATCTCACCAAAATCTAAAAACTTATCTTCTCAATCAATATGATTAATTGATTGAAATCATATTTTTCTCCAAAATTTGCAGTGCTAACAGTCATATCTCCAGTTTCAAGCAAGCTATAGAAAAGAAAAAAGTATTTCTAGAATTCTCAAAAATCTAAGTAAAGAAATCCTTTTTTATGCCTCTAAGATGTAATTTGAGTACTGAAAGCGTTAAAATGGCGCAAAGTATTTTCTATGAAATTTTTAAATTTAGCAGATTTTGAGACACAACTACAGTAGCTCCAGCATGCCTTAGCAAGAAAATATTTTTCTGAACTAATAATTATGATTCAGACTGAGCTGGTTTGTAATTCTCAAATCTAAATTGCAAGTTGGTTGGGTTATTAGGGCGCAAAATTATATTTTCGCTTTTATAGAAATTTTTTTTTGTTATCTGAAAATAACTAATTATTACATTTTTCACTACAAAATCTTGTTAATTAATTTTTAATTTGGCTGTAAAATAATTATTCTAAAAAAGTTTTTTTTGTTAAAAGTTTAATTTTGACTGCTAAGTTTAGATGAATGAAAAGGTCATCATAAAAATGGGTTAAAAACATCAAATCGAGCATGATATTAACACATAACTTATTTGTTACTTCTGCAATAAAAAAATTATTATTTTAAATGTTTGAAAAATTTGAAAATCATTGAAAATTCGAAATTATTGAATATTAATCGTTAATAAAATCCGTTCAAATAGACATACAGTTGAAAGTGTGGAAAGAGATGGAATTTCTTTAAATAAATGCAACTTAGATGGTTGAACTTATAAATGATATACCCAAAACACAATTACAACATGTATCAAATTGAGTTTACTTTAAAAAGGCAAAAGTTTCTCAAGGTATATAAGCAGTTAACATGCCCAGAAGTTCATAAAGTTACGCCCTTATATCACCACCACCATCTTACACTTGACGTGGAAAAGTTACTAAACAAATTGTACAAACTAGGCTATTTAAGAACTTTCTTGTCTTGAGCCTGTTGGAAACCAGACTTATGTTTTAAAATCTATGAGCCCTTATAGCGCCTCCAGTATTAATGTAACAATTAGAACTTAAAGTTAAGTCCGATTTGAGAATTCTAAAAATATTTTTCCCTTGTCTATAGATTGCTTGGAACTGAAGAGTTGACTGTTAGCCTGGTAAATGTTTGAGAAAAATATGATTTTAATCAATTAATCAATGTTGCATGAGATTTTGGTAAGATAGCTGGGGAGTAGCAACCCCCGTTGTCAGAACCTATGGAATAATTATTTTAACCTTACATTTTTGCAGCCTGGTGTGTGGGGAAATGGCCCATATTAACTTCAACGTAATAGTATTCATTAAATAGATTAGTCAAATAAAATTGTTTAATGAGCATCTTTCCAAAATACTTATAAACACAATTTGATGACGATTACGGTATTTCTAAAAAAATTTCTCTAAGATCGCGTATATTGGGTCAGCCCAATTTTCTGGAGGAAAATGGTATGGAGTCATTCTTGATGAACCGAAGGTAAATCTACATAAACTCTTCCCCCCTCCCCGGCCCTCATAATCTACATGGATTGTACATCCCCCTTTCTTAAATCCTCCTCAATCCAGGTAAATCTACATAAACTCTTCCCCCCTCCCCGGCCCTCATAATCTACATGGATTGTACAACACTTCACATTAATTTTAGTAGAAAAAGTTGATAAAATATTGATAAAATGTCAACTTTTGTATAATAACATTTAAACAATCTTTAAACAATAATCTTGCATTATTTTTGAACAGATTTATTTTCTATTTATTTTAAAAAAGATTTTTTGAATATTTCAGGGAAAGAATAATGGAACTATTGGTGGAAAAAAATACTTCACATGCGAGGAATGAACAACAAATTTGTTATTTTTTTGGTTCGATTTGGTTTCAATTAATATCCATATCCATATATATATCAATTTAAAATTCGGTGATGGTGATGGACCAATCCTCTGTAGAGTAAAAAAGTGGATGTTAGTTCCACATTTATTGAAAATATATTTCGGTCTGGGTTAACCCTCGTCAGTTCTAACGATATATCAAACAAGTTAAAATAAACCTTTTCTTTTAAGTCTTCATTTCCACTATACAACGTCTGAACATTTGACTTTTTTGATTAACTTTAAACCTAATTTTCTTTAAGCTATCACGTCAACATTTTCGCCTTATTTTAATGTTTTCGACCCAATCCTCAACTCCCAATCAATACGAAATCCAATGATTTTAAATGCATTAAGAGCATATATGCAATATGCTAGGACAATGTATCATTTACGCTCAGATAAATTAGATTCAATTGAAATTTGAAATTTAAACCCCGAAGAATTCAATTATAAACCCGAAACCATTCTAATTCGTATAAGAGTTAAAACATATCTATGTAAAGGACCTCCACAAATACGTTTTTAGATTATCAGGATTCAATGAAAATGCTTAATAAACAGGTTTTTTTTATGAAGGAATGCATATTGCTTGATAAATTGTATTTGACACATTCTTTGTTCATCTAACAGCCGGGACATGGGGTGTTTGTTCGTGTTTCACAGATAACGGCGGTGTTGCCAGGTATTCAATAGAAAAGGGACTGTCAACATAATTTAAGGGTTCAACGATACCTTATATTCCTTTATTGAAGCAACAGTGGTCTTTCCATCAGGAAAAGTTTTAAATTCTCACAATTTCCTTCACTGACTTTGCAGCATAAATATTTTTGCACGGAGTAACCACTTTTAAAATTCATCCTATGATAAGACACATGTTTAATGGGTATCGTTGTAATTCAGACCGAGTCATTTTTTTTATTATTTTAATAAATCTTATATATCCCTCAGTTGTGTTTTTATTCTAACAGCTAAACCCTTGAAAAATGCAGGAGTGTATATTTTCTCGAAAAATCATTTTTCTTCCCCGCCCCCTTCTGAAAATCATTATTTTCCCACAAGAATTGGGGAAGATCATTGAATTTGTGGGTTAAAATCATCAAAAATCATATCTGAAAAATATACACCCCTTGAAAAATGTTAGTTTACTTTAAAGAGAAAAGTTTCGAATGTTAAAACGTTGCTAAAAGTTTAACTTTTTATTTCTGAATTTTTAAATAAATAATGAATACATTTTCATTTGAGTTTGGGATGGATGTAAACAAATTTTGTTTACGACAACCAAACCTTCTTGGTACATTAAGAGCAAAGAGAATTTTTTTTTTAGTCCATTGAATAACTTCATTGGGGACACACTTTAAAGGGATAGCCACTTTTTAATAGTTATTAAATAATCATTTTTAAGCTGAATTTAAAAAGAATCCTCAACCCAAACTTTGTCATAAGGGAATTTAGGTTAGGGATTCAAAGTATATGGGTTTCCACCGTAAGTTAATTTTACTTGCGCGTAATTGCGGGCCCTGTAATTTCCGCGCAATTCCGCACAATTCCGCGCAATAAGAAAACAGTTGCGCGCAATTCCGATTGGAAACCCGTTTTCAGTGCTTACGATCCATTTAATTTTGATGCGGATCCGGATCCTGGATCCGCAATGAAAAAGAATGGATCCGGATCCAGGTCATTTCTTTAAGATTACTGTATTTTTTTTAACAAAAATAATTTTCAAATTTTTTGTTTTATTTTTTTTCGCATATTTTTATCCAAAAGCTCGATGAACCATTCAGAAATGAGGAAATGTGTATAATCTCTCTTTTTTTCAAAAGTTCAGATTTTGGTTTTAGGAGCAAAAAAGTTTTTTTTTGCAGTTTTTGGTTGATAATTTCTCCCTTGGATCCGGATCCAGGAAGCCAAAATCTTGCGGATCCAACGGATCCATATCCGGATCCTAAGCAATGCCGTTTTTAATCCCTATTTAGGTTCGAATGAGAATTCTCCTGGCAAGAAGACTCCAAATAAAGTCCCCAGCAGGAAATATTTAATTTAAAAATTTAACTTTTATTTTTTCACTTAAGCAAAACTGTCGAGATGTGATTTTTTGTTGGCAATTTTCCTGTTCGTTAACTTATGTTTATTGTACTCATGGTAGTTTCTTAATTAGTAAAATGTAGTCTTAATTTTTTGGAATACATTTATGTCATTTTGTTAACATTTTTACCATTAGTAATTAATATCTATTAAAAAATGTGCCTGCACAATATCTTAAAAGTATATTTAAATATTTGTTATTAAAGGGAAAACAGTATGAGTAATCTAACTCAGAGACAGAAAAGTGATCTGGCCAGATCTGCTAAAAAAGGTTTTCATTCTTCAGCTGGATTTTTTTTGTTGAAATGCTATTTTCTTATCAAGGTTTGGGGAAAAAAAGAAAAAAAGGAAAAAGGAAAAAGGAAAAAGGGAAGGGGAAAAGGAAGAGAAAGGTGGAAGAGGGAAAGGAAAAGGGGAAAGAGGGAAGGGAAAAGGGGAAAGAGGGAAGGGAAAAGGGGGAAAAGGGAAGGGAAAGGAAAAGGGGAAAGAGGGAAGGGAAAAGGGGAAAGAGGGAAGGGAAAAGGGGAAAGAGGGAAGGGAAAAGGGGGGAGAGGGAAGGGAAATATCTGAAAGGTCCAGTTGTGCTTCTGATTAAGTGCAAGTCTGATCTGATTTTAATTCTTTTTAATTACCATTATTTGAAAATTATAACAACTGATTTTAACTCTAGATGCTTCTGCAACTCCTAAACGTCAGCAGAGTGACTTCAACAAGCCCAGTGAGGTCAGCGAGCAAATGGAAACTGTCAAGGAGGGGGAGGAAGGTTGGAAGTTTTTGCTGATTATATATCCCCCCCCCTCTAGGATTTGTAGGGTATTCTCGCTGAATTGGGATAAAATAAATGACTTTTTGTCTAAAAAGTATCAAGGTGGTGCCGTGATGGGGATTTTTTTCCTCACCAAATTACTAAAATTGCAAAAAAAAAGACGAGTAAAATGTCAAAAAATAATTTTTTTAAAAGACAAAATACCAATAAATATGAAAAGAGTTTAATCAATAAAACAAAAATTAGATGCTATTAAACAAATTAACAAATTAAACAAATTAACAGAATTATTCCTTGTATTGTAGCCTGCAGGTCAAGATACATTGTCTGCAGGTTGATAGATAATAATAATAATAACATGCATTTAATCTGCCTTATTTTAATAACAAAAGAAAAAGAAGAAACTTTTAATGCAGATTTACTATGTTAACTACTGTCGGTCTGGGGATCCCACATTGGGGGTCTTTCACGATCTTTTTTATTTCATTTCATTTCAACTCCTCTTTAGGGGTCCTTGGAGTAATCCTACAACTAAACTACACTAAATTAAAACTTATCGCAATGATGGGATCTGGGCTGCTTGATACCGCTTACTTGGGTTTAAATTTTGCAAGTGAATAATGGACAGTGCACACATCATGAGAAAACGGGTTAAACCTTTGATGTTAAATAATTTAAAGGCACAGGTCGGGGAGAGAGCAAAATTTTGGGGAAAAAAGAAAATAAAGAAGGTGTCCGAGTTTCTACACACAATGCATAACCTTTATTTTATTATTTTTTTAATATTTTTATTTTTAGATCCTGGAATACAAGTTGGAAGTAAACTAATTCAACCTAGAAGTCGTCTTCCTTTACCAGGTACAGATCAAAAGTAGAGACATCGTGTTTCAAGTTAACCTTCATTTAATTCACATCGATACCCTTAAAACTTTTAAACATCGTCATTTTGTATCTTTCAAAACGATAATTTTCCTTCATTTTCTTTGCTGCGCTGAATTTGAAAATAAAAAAATTTCAGAAGATAAACTAGGATATTTCCATCAGTTTTGCTCAGACTAAGGTGGAAAGGGTATTGCAAAATGTGTAAATAAATCTTTAAATGGGGGTCCATTGAAATTATGTCAACATTCCCTTCAAGACCATAAAAAATTGAAGTTAAGAAGAAACCTTAAAAAAAATGTAAAAATAATAATAGCAGAAACCTACTACCTTACCCCTGATATATCCAAAAAATATCTAATTTTTTAAATATTTACTTCTGTATATTGCAGGAGCTGGCCGGCAGCCATCTTTCACAAATATAACACGGAAAAGTGTGGACAATACTCCTAAACCAGAGAAACAACCTTACCAAAGGTACAAAATAGATTTTTACGAAATTCGTCTAAGTTCTGAAAGATGATTTTTTATCAATATTACGTACTTCTCAATATTGAGCAGCTTCATAATTTGTTAACTACGATGAAAAGATTTTAATGGCCGTTGAATTACATCGTTGTTTTTTTAGAGAACGATCGTTTGTCGAGACAAATTTCGTTCAAACTCCTCGTTCTACAAATGTGACCCAGATACTGCCAGAACGGAATCCTACTCCAGGTAAAACACTTAAACGGGTGTTAGTACTTTTCTAAGCAGGGCCGGAACTGGGGGTGGGGCACGTATACCCCCCCCCCTTTCCTGTGAGATTAAATTTGAAGTAAAATAAGCGCTTTCTTTGCTGTGTAAAAGGGCTTTGACCCCATCTGCTTATAAGAGCAACTTTTCAAGTGACTCGTTAACAAACGGCATTTTCCAAAAGGAATTTTTCTATTTGTCAATTAAGGCTTACATAGGTTTGATTTCTGATTTTTTTCCTTGCGCTGTGTTCAGGAAACACTCCCTGGTCTTTCCTTGGTTCGGATAAGTCACTGGGGAAAAGGTTTACTGGAAAATGTACTTGTAAGAAAATTCTTTTGCGTTGATGCACTGCACCCTGAGGGCGGTCTGGGGGTTAATGTCGGGTTCCCTTACAGATCTTGATATTATCATATTGAGTAAATATCATCAGCAAAAACAAGGCAATTTACAAAAAAAACTGACCTACAGTACACAAAGTAAACACATTTAATCGTGCACATTTTCTATTGCAATTAAGATCCAACACTGTTCATCTCATATTGAAATAAACATAGAATTTTAACCATTATTAATGTTATTTATGTATACTAGGGGCCCGGAGTTCTTCTAATTCTAGTGCTAGTGCAAGTCCATCGCTAAGGAACCCCCAAAAAAATTTTAGAATGAATTATCTAAAGTTTGATCCTATAGTTATTATACATGTAAGCAAAATAAAAATAAAAATATAAAAAATCCAGTAAAAAAAGTTTTAATTTATTTGGTTTGGTTTGCAGCACCGTTATGCTCTCAGAGAAAATGGAGGAAAAGGTTCAAAACATTCAGCTACAACAGGAGATCAATAATTATAAGGTTGGTAGTGTGAGTTGAAGAAGGTTTGTCGTGTGATTAATTGATTAAGGGAGGTTGGTCGTGTTATTGATTGATTGTTGGTGATGACTTGATTTATTAATTGAAATTGGTAATGCAATTTATTGATTTGAAGAGAAAGACACTATCATTAGTCATTATTTATTTTATAGTTAGACAAGGATTTGTGATTTATTTTCATTGATTTTATTGTAAATGATTCTTTGACATTGTTTTTTTTTCAAAATCCACCTAGAAAAATCGACAAAAAGGCGATTTTTTATTAATTGATACTTTTGTTTAAATTTGTGAACTGTGTAGGACGAGATAAGAGACTTAGGAGAGAAGCTGGAGACCTTGAAGGTGAAGAGAGCCCAGGACAAGGAGAAGATGAAGGACTTTGAGAAGATTCTTCTTCAGAACGAACAGGTGACAAGCCAGAGTGAAGTCGTTTGTTGGATATTTGATTGTTGAGACATGAATTTATTTATTGGATGATGATAAATTGCTAGATAATTGATTGATTTTAATTGTTGCTTGATAGTTGATCGATTGATTTATTTGTTGGTTTATTAATTGTGTGACTGATTGATTTACTGGGTTATTGATTTGGTGATTGATTGATTTATAGATTGATTGGTTTGATAGTTAATTGACTGATGATAGTTATTATTTAAATATTAAATTTAACTTCTTAACTATTAAAATAGATAATTAATCTCTTATTCTTATTTTTATATCGTTCAAGTCACTGTTTAGAATTTTAATCGATTTCTCGATTGATTGAATGATTGATTTCGGAACAAATTTTATTTGATATTTATTTACTTATTTTCTTTATATCGAAATTAGTAAATTGAATTGATTGATAATTGTTTACTTTATTACAGTTGATCGAGTTTAAGTCTCGTATTATGGAATCCCAGTCTACGCTGCAGAAGGAGTTACAGAAGGCCAAGCATGATGCTAGGGAGGCTGTGGAGGCCAAGGATCGTCATGCCGAAGAGATGTCTGATCTCAGGTAGACAGGGGTAACATAACCTTCAAAAAACATAGTTTTATCAACCTTTTTCATAGATTAACTTTTTTTTATAAACTTCTTTCTCCGCTTATTTGGGGGGGGGGGGTAAATAATTTTTTGGGCTAAAAGTTGATGTTCAATTTTTCATTTTCTAATCGTGGAAAAGCATGGTTAATTCTTCAAATTATCAACCCCTGCGAGGCTGCGAGGTAGATGTGCATTTTTGTAAATAATTTAAGTCTATGTTTTCAAGTCTTGTATATTAATGACAATTTATGGACAGGATTTATCTATATTTTCTATTTTACTTATTTTCTAATACTAATACTTATTGTATAAAATTTACTTCTTTGGGATGTGATCGATTTTTGAAAAACGTGACTAAACCCCGATTCCCTAAATTATGCCATGGCTAGATGATTTTAATACATCATCTGGCCATTGGATAATAGTATTTTATCTAATTTTACTTAAGTCTTTTTTGTCTAGCGAAACTGTTGAGATGGCCACCCTAGACAAGGAGATGGCGGAGGAGAAGGCAGAGACCCTTCAGCTTGAGCTTGACGCAGCGAACGAGAGAATCGAGGAGTTAACCCTTGACCTCGAAATCATCAAGGCTGAGATTGGGCAGGACGGGAAGATGCGGGAGGACGGCGGTGTAACGACTTTCGAGCTTAAGGCTCTTCAAGCTCAGAACGAGAAGCTGCGTGAGACCCTGGTCTCTATGCGAGATCTGTCGGCTCATGAGAAGCATGAGATCACGAAGCTCACCAAGGATTTGGAGGAGAAGGTGGCAGAGCTGGCGGTGAAAACGAAGGATCTTGAGAAGTTGTCCCGTCAGGTTGAGGATATGGAGCAAACCATCTCCGATCTACAGGAGCAGGTTGATGCTGCTCTGGGTGCTGAGGAGATGGTGGAGAACTTAACCACAAAATGTTTAGATTTGGAGGACAAGGTTGTTCTCCTTATGGAGGAAAAAGCCGACCTCGAGGCCCTGCATGATATTAACGAGGAGATGCAGGAGAATGCTCGAGAAATAGAGTTGGAACTCCGTGAGGAGATTGATATGACCCAGGCGAAAATCCGGGAACTCACCCGGGAGAAGGAAGCGTCGCATGAAGTCGTCTTCGATCATGAAAATACAATCGCTAAGTTTCGCACTTTTGTCTCCCAGGTTCAAGAGCAAAATAAACAGCTACGGGAGGCTCTAGAGAAGGAAACGAGCAAACCCGTATCTGGCGCGATGGGTGTATCTCACGAGATGCTGGACTTCAAGAAAATGTTTGCCGAGACCAAGGCCCACGCCAAGGCGATCGACGTCGAGCTGCGGCGGTTGGAAATCCAGGAAGCAGGGAATCATGTCAAGTATCTGATGGCGTACATGGGAGAATCTTTCCTTTCCAGAGGGGGTGACTATGAAGCTATTCAGGTGTAAATCTGGATATTTTAAACCTAGAAATTATTATTATTAACAATCAACCTACGTTCTACAGTCAAAGTATCATGTTCTTACGGCAATAATATGTTGATCTCCAGGGACTCCAGGGTTGAGCTCCATAAACGTGTCTCTCTAAATTATTACTGTATTTTATAGAAAATTATTCGAAGTGGGATATTACTAGAGAACGATTTTTGGACCCCACCCCCTCCTATCAGTTTTGTACATGGGTCTGACAGGAAGTGTCTTAACTTAACCTAACCCGTGGCCGCAGCGCTCGGCCCCCTAGCCTGTCCAAGCCGCAGCGCTCGGCCCAGAAAGTGTCTTAACTAACCTAACCCGTGGCCGCAGCGCTCGGCCCCCTAGCCCATCCTAGCCGCAGCGCTCGGCCCAGAAAGTGTCTTAACCTAACCTAACCCTAAATAACAAAAAATAATAATAAAGTTGCTGAAAAATAAATGGTCATGTACAAAATTGATAGTAGGGGGGGGGGGCCAAAAATCGTTCTCTAGGACACACCCCAAAAAAACCCCCCCCCCCCCCTCATGAAAAAATGCAAATTAGGACTAGAGCTCATTTCATTGGTTTCCCCAGGCCTAGGATTGAAAATTATTCTCTTAAAAAATGTACCCTTTTAGTTAGATTATAAGTGAAAAGTTTTTTTTTCGTATTTTTGGAAAGAAATAATTCCCCTGTTTAGGTGATGCTACTGGTGCCCCGACTAGTCTGTAAGTCTGATATTCTCCACGGACAGATCAAGGCTCTCTTCCAACCTCCGGAGAAGATTGATTCTAACTCCGTCCTTAAAGGTCACACTGTTGACAGGTAAATATTAAAAATAGATTACGTGAAAAGTTTCATAGCCTGTTCTGTTCATTTACGTTACCGACCTAGAATTTCCCTAAAACAAGGAATGGTTTAATTTACTTAACCCTCCATGTGGATTGTGGATTAGATCTATATATCTGTTAAGACTCCCCAATAACACACAAGTGTTACCAGGTAACCACCCCTCCCTGCAATCCAGAGCCCCCTTTTGGGGTGCATGGATCATAGAGTTAGCATGTCATGTGCAATGATACTGTTATGCCCGAGTGGCAGTAAAAAATAATGTCCTGCTATTTTTGTAAAAAGTTCGCGGATTTTTTTTTCATACGATGGTAGATTTTTATTGGTCACTCTACAGTCTACAACTACTTTTTCGGGAAATTAAATTAATTTAAACGAAAGCAATAATTGTAGTTATTCTTACTTTTGTTGACATTTATTTGTTTAGACATGTGTTTGGTAGTCGGATGATTCATCTTCTCTATTCCTTGGATAAAACTTTACACCAGTTCAACCATGCTCTAAACACGTGTTCAGGGATACAATCTTCTTAGTTCGGTTGATTTGTTAAATTGCTGTATTTTAGTTGTTTGTTTTTTTCAAATTTTAGTCCTTTCTCCATATTTATATATTATCATTATTTTGTTTAAAGTTAAAGTTTGGTTTTTGTTACTTAAATGTTATTTAATTCCTCACTTATTATATTTTTGTCTTGTATTGTTTTATCTTGTTTTTGTCTGTTGGTATGATATACACTATATTTTGCCGATTACCGAAAGCAAAATTTAAAAAAAATAAAAAAATTTTAGAACGTTCTTATTTGTTCATTTGTTCATCAGTCAAAATAAAATTCTTATTTGATAAAAAAAAATGTCAACAAATGTATCGTTTTGTATTGATTTAACCTGTAAACTGTGTACAGCAGCATAAAAACCCTGAGGTTAGCTTGTTAGAGTATTAAAAGACTGTACTTATGAATAGTTGAAACTATGATGAGGGTCGGGACACTTTACCCAGAGATGACGGTACATGAGAAGGTATTATTATTATCATTGTTATCATTATCATTTATCGTTTTAAGATCGTTATTATTTTTGTTCAGAAATTAATTTAATGGACACATCTAGTTAATTTATTGTGACCAGGGGCTGGATTTCTACCTGGACCTGCTGCATAAAGGTCAACTGGACGAGAATATTCACCTGGTCAACCTGGAGAAGACGGTAAACTACTTTAACACCATCTACCCGATCCACCTGGGGGACTTGAAGACCAACTGCGGGATCTTCCTCACAGATCACGTGAAGATCTTCCTGGCTGGATTAGATAATCTCAGGTATGGAATGAGCGTTTGCTCTAAGTGCCATATTGGTTTTGGTTAATGAGTTTTCCCCAGGGGGGGGGGGGTAGGTTCGAAACGTCCCCAACCTCTCACTTTTGTTGCTTGTTTAAGAGTTTCTTAAACCTGTATTCTAACTACTAGGTGTGAGGTGCAGAGAATCCGCGTGATTATGGACGTGAAGGCGGAGAGCTCCGAGGTTGGGATCCTCCTCAAGACCCTGGAGAACCAGGTCAAGGAGTTTGAGGCAACCGTCAAGAATGTTAAACGCCGTCTTCCTCAGGACGGGTCCCAAGGTAGAGCAGCTTATTACTAATTTAAAACAACTTTGAACATTTATTTTAAGTTAAGTTTTTAGTTTTCGTTTATTTTTGTCAAAATTAACTACTTTTTGAACATAATTTTTCTTAAATCCTATTATTTTAATCCCTGTAAATATGATTCGATTTGAGTGGACATAATCACTTTAAAATCTTAAAATGAGACACCACTATCAATTATTGATTTTATATTTGTTGTTTCTTCCTGACTTTATATTTGTTGTTTTTCCTGACTTTATATTTGTTGTTTTTTCCTGACTTTATATTTGTTGTTTCTTTCTGACTTTATATTTGTTGTTTTCTTCCTGACTTTATATTTGTTGTTTCTTCCTGACTTTATATTTGTTGTTTCTTCCTGACTTTATATTTGTTTCTTCTTGACTTTATATTTGTTGTTTCTTGACTTTATATTTGTTGTTTCTTCCTGACTTTATATTTGTTGTTTCTTCCTGACTTTATATTTGTTGTTTCTTCCTGATTTTATATTTGTTGTTTCTACTTGACTTTATATTTGTTTTTTCTTTCTGGCTTTATATTTGTTGTTTCTTCCTGACTTTATATTTGTTGTGTGTTCCTAGGTCCCATCACGTTCCCTGAAAGTGTTGGCGTTACAATCACCCAGTGCGCCACCAACCTGGCGCAGGTGATTAAGGTCATGGATACCTTCGGGAAGGCCGCGATGGTACTTGCCATCTCTGATCCAGATTCAGGAGTTCCAGGTAAATATTTTATAATATGTTAAACGTAAAATTTAGTGTTTATACAAAATTTCTATTCAAAATAGTAAATAAATTATTAATATGTGGATAAAATCAGTTAGATTATGATATTATAAGTATAAGTATTTTTATTATTAGGACCTAAACTCCACGAGGCTCTCCTGGATGCTATTGAAGCTAGAGTAGAGGGAGGAGAACAGAGTCTAGAGTTTATTTCAAAAAGTTTGGCTCTAGCACTTGCTAAACTTGGGTAACTTATCAATTGTCCATTATATAAATACAATGATGGCTGTCTTTGATTTCAATTTGTTTTAATTTATATTAAGCGGTCAATTAAAAAAGCTTCTCTTCAATTGCTTGTAAAAAAGCTTGTTAACGATTAAAACTAAAAAAGTCGTCTTCATTATATTGGTAAGATCGCCTACCACCGTTGGATAATTGGAAGGAATTATTGATAATTGGTGGATGGATTGATTAGTTTATTGTTAATTGTTATTAGTTTATTTTCATTGATACATTTAAAGTTTTGTTGATTTCATTTGATAAATAGAATGCATGTATAAATAATAAATATTCAAATAATTAAGAATTGGAGTTGGGTTAGTTGGTTGAATGATTGCTTGGCTGATTAATTTCTGAATTGATTGATTGACAGGTTGATTGATTGATCAGTTGATAAGTTGATTGATTGATTGCGTATTAGATAATGATTTATAGTGTAATAGCAATGCGGAGATGTGAATGATTGATTGATTTTTAGTGTGATAGCAACGGCTATACAGAACGGTGAATATGATTTCGACGGTACGCGGGAGGAGAAGGGAGTTCAGCCAATCTTTATCCGAGCAGAAGCTGTCAAGGCGGAGATTAAAGAAGCAACAGGTAGATTGTACAATAATCTCAGGGGTATATATTTTCTAGAAAACTATCCCCTCCTCCCCCCATCTCTCTCCCTTTTCAAACTATCCCGTCCTCCCCCCATCTCTCTCCCTTTTCAAAATGTTTAAAAAAATTTAGTTTGAAGGAAAACTCTCCTACTGGCAAGAATGAAAATTATTTCTAAGAAGACATAATTAATCATACACCGTTTTAAATCTTTGTATCTTTTAAGATAGCAATTTGATACCTTTTATTAGAAATGGGGGAAGTATTTCCTCTTTCTCAATTATCCCTGAATTAGACTTGAAATTCCTGAAAAGAAGTTTTCAATTTATTTTCTCATTAGGTTTGAAGTATAAATTGGAAGCGAAGGATATGGATATCAAGGAGCTAAAGAAGCTCGTCAAGATGAAACAGGACGAGCTCTCCGAGATGCAGGTCGGTCAATTACATTAAAGGGATTTAGACGATAATGTCAGGGGATAGGGTTGCATGTGGAAGATGTTGGCGTTTTTCTAGTGTGAAAAGTGTTAAATTTCTGCAAGCCAGTTGTCCAACAATAATTGTTAATTAGCCAATTTTTTCAGTTAATAACTAATGGATATCTCATTTAATCTTCACCAGACAAAGCTTTTCAGGTTGCCGTTTTAATTCAATGGTCACTTGAAATTACGCATACAGTCATTTTAGGCTCATTTGGAATAATAAGCATGCTATTTGATTAAAGGATTTTCGGCTTTCGACGGAGATTCCAGGAAAGTTATTAAGTTTTAAAGGTTTTGTTAAATCTTATTCCTGTTGTAACTTTTCACAGAAAATTTCTTTTTATTATATTAATTTTATTATTGAATAGGTTCGGAAGGATTTACTTGAGAAGAAACTTTCTGATACTAATAGAGATAGTGATCTGATGGTAGAAAAACTACAGGTAGGTTTATTCATTTCATTCGTGTAGATGTTCGTAAATTCATTTTTTTTATTCAAGAAAAGGAATGGGTTAAATTCAGGGGCGGATATATGATTTAAGTGAGGGGGGTGCTAGATTTATTTCGGAACAAAAAATCCAGATGTAGGAACCAAAAAATGCGCTGCAGGAGAAAATTTTTTTTAATAGATATCTTTTTCTGTTTTGCACTAGGTTTTCTTTCCCTTAATTGCTACTGAGAAGCNGTATCCGCCCCTAGTTAAATTGCAATGATGACCTAAAACCCTGTCTTCCCAAAAGAGTTCCCAATTTTGTTAATAATTTTTTAGTAAAAGTTGAACTTCCTTTATTTTTGCTAAATATTCTGTGATTGTTTTTTTTAAATTGCCCATGCTTTATGGTGATTTGAAAATATCAAGGTATACATTAAATGGGGTCAATTTTTACAATTCAACACTTTGCTCAGTTGAAATAAAATGGAATTGGATATACCAAAAAAAAAATTAGAAACGAATGTATTTTCAATTTTTTTTTTTGTAAATTAGAAATCCCAATTTTACTGAATTCAGAAACATAAAAATCTTCAAATTGTCTGTTAAGAATTGAATATGTTGGAGGCAATTAACAGATATCTCTTATAATTGTTTATGGAACCCCCCCCTCCTATCTTTATTTTATGAAAACATTGTTTGCAGAGGAAGCTGGATGATGCCAACAACTTGTTGTTGAGGAAAAATAAGGAGTTTGACGAGACATTAGATTCCCTTCAGGTACATAGTGTCCAAATATTAGATTCCCTTCAGGTACATAGTATCCAAATATTAGATTCCCTTCAGGTACATAGTGTCCAAATATTAGATTCCCTTCAGGTACATTGTGTCCAAATATTAGATTCCCTTCAAAATTTCGAAATTTGGAAGTTGTTTGAGGGCCTCCTTAAGCAGAGAAAGATTAATAATGCGGGAGATAATTAATTTCTTTATCAAATTTCACGAGTTAAAAAATATTAAAATTATATTTTTGTTGTACCTTGTTTTGCATTGGTGAAATCAAAAAAAAATCGACTTTTGAAAATTACCCTGTATGGTAACATGGGAGTTCGATCTTATACTGGGTAGAGTCATAGAACCTCTCTTAAATCTTTTAGCAACTAGAGAGGTTCAGACTGAAACCCCGATGTGTGTAAGGACTTTATAAACTCAGACCTGAAACATATTTGATTTGATAAAAATTTTTATCTTAAACTTTTAGTTTTGAAAATAATATGACAAGTTTAATTTTTGCATTAAATTATAGTGTTAGCCATAAAACAATCTTCAAATGATCTAATTTTCAGATTGAAATTTGTTTTGAATATTTTAGGCGGACATTGACAGTCTTGAATCGGAGCGAGGTGTTCTCAAGGACAAAATGACCCAAATGTCTAAAAAGGCATTGATCCAAGGACTCTCCAAGTCCCAGAATCTGGAGGGACCGATTAGCCTTGGTCCAAGTATTCCTAGTCCTGTACGGGACTCACCGCTACTTGTACAACAAGTGGCAGATATGCGGGCAGCTGTACATAGTCTGCAGTACAGTAGAGCCAGGTATATAAGACATAAAACAAAACAATAAACAATAACGTTATCAATAGAATTCAGTTAATATATCGCTACATCACAGAAAAAGAATTGAAATGTGTACTAAAAAAAGTTTTATCTTTCTAACTTAACAATTAGAATTGCCATTGGTATGTCAAATTTATTACTAATGTAATTTTAAAAATTTTAAATGAATTTTTAGAATGGACTTATTTCAATTTTATTTTGATTTTTGTTGTTCTAGGATTCAAGGCCAGGATATGAGGGATAGATTAAGCAAGCTAAAACCTATAAAAGTACCAAAGAGAATAATTGGTAAATTTAAATTTTTTTGTTTATTTACATTATTTTACATTGTTTGTTACGAAAAGCTTGATTTTTATGATAAGGTCTAAATTGAATCTTTAAAAATTCTTGCGTGCAGACTAAGATCTATTAATCCGAATTGATGCTGAAAAATAAAGGATCAAAATTATCAATAAATATTTTTTAATTGTAGGAGAAACTACGGAAAAGGGTGATAAGGGGAAAGAAAGTAATTCTGAACTTGGTGATTTAATGAGGTAAATTTTTCTAGATCAACGAGGAGGGTTGGTGGAAGGGGTAGGAAAGGGTCATGCGTAGTAGCAAGAAGGAAGGGTTAGCGGTAGAGCCACGAACGGAAAGCCAGGAGGCTGTTTTTGAATTTTTTTAGAAATTTATCTTATAAATATGATGTATTAGGAGCTCAACGTAACATAGTCATCGGAACATAATGACTGTTCGACGTAGATTTAATGTTATAATAATAATAATGAAAATAGGAGATGTAATACGGCGCGAAGCTCCCTGTTTTCTCTTCTCTGTTCCCAGGAGGTTGTTGATATCACAAGAACCAAGGCTGGAGTCTCTAAGCTAAACCACAAGGTCAGTAAATATTCTTAAAATATAGAATATATCTAATATTGTTTAGGACTATGCTCTGATAGGACGGATAAAGTTAGGACAAGAACCTAACCAAGCAGAGAATGGATCTGTTCCACTAATCTTAAACCTGGAACAGCTCAAGCAAATTCATTCAACCATCATGGTTTGAAACGTTTCGAGAATTTTGTTAACAAAAAAGTTAAATCAATCGCATTTTATATTAAACCCTTATATTAATATTAGGATTTTGGAATAAGATTAGTTAGCACATTCCTGTATGTATAAAAAAATTGTTTACAAAATGAGCATTGTTTGTTTTGAAAGTGAATAAGACTGTTTGTTAACATTATGAGCAATGTTTTTTTTTGTACACAAAGTGAGAAAGCAATGTTTGCTTACATGGTTGGCAATTTTTTTGTTTACTTAATTTGACAAAAAATGTTTTTTTCTGTAGTCTGCAACTTTTGTTTACATCTTGGTTACCTAATGCGTAATGTTAGTTTACAAAAAAGCAATGTTTGGTTACAAAATAAGTAGTTTTTTTTGCAAACAACATAACGTTAATATCATGAAACACGTTTTAAATGTTTTTAACGTTTTATAATCATCATCGCACTAAGCCTTTAATTTTTTATGCTTCACTTTATTCTATGTTATAATAATCATGATTTTTGATTTTATTATGAACTTCTTATGCGCAATTTTAAAAACCATTGAACAAAAATATTGTTAGATTATTAGTTATTGATAATGTGATAAATATAAATACTAACTTAATAAAATTAAAAAAAAAGGTTGCACCTGTGTGCATATGAAGTTTCTTGGACGCAGAAAAATGTGTGTGCTAAAGCTTAATGGGCAAACCACAATTTTGAGTACATCGAATTGCTTAATAGATTACCAAACCTGCAACGCCTTGTGAAAAATTCCCAATTCCTTGTTTTTTCGTATTAACAATTTATTCATCTCTACATACCGTGCAGGTCAGTATATTATGCATGCAATACAAAGTAGTTTACTAAACGCTGAAAAAATGTCTAGAGGCTGGCATTTATTTCAATACAGTTTCCAACACTAAAATGCTTTACAGTAACGAGTAGTCGGTGTGTATACCTATGAAAGTGTTGGGCAATTAAATTGTAATTTTATATTAACATTTCAGTAACCGAAACTGTATTGATGAAAATAAGCTGAAAACTGATTTACTTTATCTTTATAAATCATGGGTTTAATTTGTGATAGATTTTTATAGGAGTTTTTCTTGATTAGAAGTGGAAAGTTCTTGTTATAAAACGGAAAAATACAATTTAATTGATTAGACCTTACACTGTATTCTAGGAGAGTGAATTTGAGCGATTTTTACGCATCTGTTATTGAGTACAAACAGCTGATCATTATTTAAGGAAAGGTTACAGAATACTTTGATAACTCGCATTAAATTTATTTTGGGTTTATGTAAATTATATTTATATTATGTACCCTGAAGAAGAAATGGTATAATTTTATGAGATATTTATAATGTACAAACTACAAGTGTATGTATAAATGTAGTTAAGAAACTCGTCTCGATGTTTTTCAGTTCTGAAATGACTCAACAAAAAAATGTTTATGGAGCCCCCCTTACGCCGTGTTGTTACGATCCAATGACAGGTATTTCAGATATTTATAATGGTTTTCAAGTTGTTCGTTCAAGTTGTATAATCGGCGTTGCCCGCATTAAGTATGAAATTTTTTACTTTTGAGTATGAATGTATTTATTAAAAAAGCAGGTAAGTACCCTTCTAAAACGCCTTGTGTTTCATAAGATATTCTTGTCAATTAAAGTTTAATTTATACCGTGTCTCCATTTGAATCCTTTTCTAAATGTACTGTATTTTACTTTAATACAATGTTCATGCTGAGTTGGATTTTCAAAGATCTAAAATGTTTGTAGCTTTGATTCTTTGCCTTCTTCCCTGTATCGAGAATTGTGTACGCAATTTCCGAAGTTTACTTTTCCGATATTGTGGGGATTTCCTTATTAATATTATTTTTATAAAACATCGTTTTTGCCCGCTTCCCTTTGAAGTTGTTTAATTCCTCATTTAACTTATTGAGATATTGGCTTAAAGGTGTTGACTGTTGTTAACGTAATTTCAAGTGATCCTTTAATTTATTTAGAGTGACTTGTAACAAAGGTAGTAAAATGTTTAATTTTGTCAATTTCCTTCTGGTTTTCAAGGAAACGTTGTGAATCGGACATGCCACTCATTAAATGGATTATCAATAAAAATTACTTCTACAGAGAACAGACCCTTTAACCAAAAATGGTTTTTAAGATTAATTTTGTTTATTGTTTAGGTTGGATGAGGGACGGGTTTTGTAAAACTGACAACAGGGAGATAAATTATTTTAGAAAATATTATTTTTTTTCTTAATTTTTTATGACCATCATTCATCAAATCTGATCTTGACATCTAAAATTATAAAAAACATCCCGTTGAACAAGTTTTTCGAAAAAAAAATAGATTGCTATTTTCTAACTCTTTTATTCGAAAAGACCAAAAACGATTAAACTTGGATGAAATCAGAAAATGCTGCTTTGAACATGTGAAAATGTGAATGATATAAACAATGATGGCCAGAACTATAGTGAACTAAAATCATTTACAGTTAAATCAAGAAATTCTCATTATACTCCAATAGGAGTCCTGAGAATCAATACCACATAAACACATAAACAAACCCCTCCGCCCCACCCCTCCTATATCTATCTATCTTAACCTTACTTGAAATAGGGTATCTTTACATGAGGTGGGTGGGGGATTCCTGAATTCTCATACTACTAACTAAAAACAATATTTTTTTTAATTAATTTTTTAACCCACCATTTAGACCTGTTTTCGAAACCAAGAAGGGGAAACTTTCAACTTAACTTTAAGTTCACCCCGCCCCAACACACCACAAGAATATTATCTCTTTGTGTGCAGAGATGTTGGTGTCCACACTGTTTGTGCGGAGATGACCCAGCAGTTTCTAAATTACACAAAGTCTGTAGGGAACGATTTATCTACCCCCCACCCTCCACACTTCCAGGTGGCACTTTTTCACTTTTTTGTGACCACTCAATTAGTTCACCAATGTTCAATTCACAACCTGTACTCTTTACAACTTTAGCTGAGCAACTAAGGATGATAGGTTGGTTGGCAATTGGCAAATATTTAGATAGAAAACCAAAAACATATTCGTCGTTATTGCTTAAACTAAAGTTTTAAAGGATTGTGAATTGGGCATTGAAAATTGATTAGACCCATGTACAATGTACGTAGAATAATCTCTACATCGAAAACTCCATCTAAACTGGATGAATGAGATGAATAAGACTGTCAAGTAGCCCTTTGGTAGCCTTTAAAAAGGGACTGTCGTAATAAATTCAAGCGTCCCTCCATTTAAAATGAGACATGCTCTTTTCACAACGGTAACTTTATGTAAACCTTTTCTGCCCAATAATGTCGAGGATATTGTCGTGATTATAGCTTTTAAAAGGTGTTCAATTCTGATAATTCCCTCTGTTGTTTCCGCAAGTCACCTATAAAGAGAACCCACAACTTAAAAAATCTAAGCATTGACATACATCTCATTCATTCTTGACCATATAAAGCTTTTAAGAGTATCTTTGTGAATCGGATAAACTTCTGTATAAATGGAGAGTCACTTGAAATCACATCAACAGTCCCTTTAAATAGTAGTTAGTGCTGCCATGAAAGATTTCTGAAATAATTTTGATTTTTTCAGGGATTAAAACCTGGAGACAGATGGTGTCTCTGTGCATCCAGGTATTTGAGTAGGGATAGGCCTTGTGTTGTACATTTTTAAACATTTGCTGTTTTTGGACTTGGATTTGTGAGGCTTCACAAGAATTTGAGAAATTTACCATTTAGCTAAATTGTATAAATTGATTTACACAAAAGTTCGTTAATTAGTTCGACCCCCACCATCACTTTACACACGTACATCTTAAAGTGAATATTTGCAAATTATTTTTTTTCCATCTGATAATCTGAGTTCGTTTCCCTGATGTCCATTTGACAGCCCAAATTTTTATTTTGAATAATCTTTTTTGTTTCTTTATTTTCAAATCAAATCATGCTTTATTTAGAGACGTCCTACACCCACACACCAAAATTGAAGTGACTATAATAAATCAATAATGAAGTGAGATCTTACGATTTGTACTCTTTGTTTATTTTTAAGAAGTTATTTTTATCACGGTCATAAATAAGAACGAAAATGTGTGAAATTAACAATTTACAACGGACATTCGACGTTATTGCCAGACCGCCAATCACAGATTCTAGTCCCCTGTATAATTGCGTTAATTATTTTGGTCGGGGACAGGTCTCTGTTGGCTGGTGAATTTGGGAACAGTGATATATATTATGAGCTAATAGCGCCTTGATAAAATCAAGTGATTGATGTTTTAGCTAAATGCTGATTAATTTTAATGTGATTCATTTTTAGAAAAAATCAAGTTTAGTAAAAATTAAATAATCCAATGATATTCGATTTTAATGGGTTTCATTTCTAGAAAAAAATTCAATTTTATTGGAAATGAAATAATCCACTGATTTTTGATTATTCAACTAGGGAATAATTGCAATAATTATATCACTTCTCGTCTCTTGTAAATTACCTGCAATAATTGTATAATCTACAGAGCGTCCCATATCATATTAGATTATCTCCAAGTTTCAACGCCAAAATAAACCCATAATACTAGAAAAACCTAGCATCTCTGTAAGAAAATTCTTATATTAGCCTTATTTAATTTTTCAAAATGATTCATTCTTCTTAAATTTTCTGATTGGTCCCGAAAATCGTAATTTAGACCGATTGACGATCAAATATGATATGGGACACCCTGTATCATATAATCCCCCTCTCCATTACAAAAGATTACCTTTCACCCTACTTCCCTGCCCTCCCTTCCCAACACTTTACCTTCTTTATCCCCTCCCCCCTAATCTTTCCTCTTATTCCTAAATCTTTACCATGCACTAAAAACTAATCCTACCTTCATCCACAGAACTATACCTAGCTCTACCAACCGTTGTGCAAATCCTTTTCCCTGCCTATTTAGCCTGTTCTATACTTCTGAAATGGGTCAATCTACCCCAAAAATGCATGCCTCAACCTTTCCGTCTATAGCTTTCTTCTTAAAAAATGTGGATTTAAATTTTAAATGCTTTGGAACAAAAAAAAAATTTTCACCCTGGTATCATGAAATTGAAAATGCGGGAAAATAATTCTCAATAGTGTAATTTGCCCCCATTTCTTTCAAATTTGTCAATCCCAAATGGGATTGAAAAAGAAATTATATTGACCCCTGTACATACAGTATACGCTACACAGCTCAGTATGTCGTGTGAAAATCTATCAAGCCTGCTGTACTGTCATCATACCACATTTTTAGAAAACGAAAAACACTAGACTGGGACCAAGAAACCCCTTTTCTGAAAACCACCTCTGAATAGCTAAACTATACTCATGCTAAAAGTCTTGTATTGCACCTTTTTTGGCAAACCCTGTCAATTTTAAAATGCGATATCCAGAGAAAAGAGTATTAGTTTGTAAACTTTTATATTGTTTAATGTAATTTTGCTTTAGACAAATATAAATGATAAATATATATGCACTATATGTACTATACATACGGTATACGCTACACAGTATGTTGTATACTGTTAACTGTATAAAATCTTTAGATTAGTGAAGGAGAAGGTACTATTAAAGAAAATACTGCAAGGATAACAGAACAACTTGAGATCAAGTTATGCTAAATATTTTGTAGTTTTGTACTTTGAATACTAAACAAAAACATATTACACAACCTGTGCACTAAATGTATACTTTGAAAAATAGTTAGTTGACAAATTAAGGATATCAGAACAAGAACGGATCTATACAAAATAAACAATAAACATATCTCTATGAAAACCTAAATGTTAAAAAGGTACAAATGTTAGTCGTACCTCTTGTACTATGGCAGTGACACGAAATCGGCAATAGATACAAAATAAAAATAAACCCAAGAAGGTAGGTACAAAGTGTTTTTTGTATCCTGGAACAGAAATATTTATCAAATGGGAAACAGGATTGCAAAACTGGACCAGAGCTCTAACTTTACTATTAGCGAGTGTATTGAATATACACTATACAGGGTGTCCCACATCATATTACACGTCATCTACTCATTATCCTGCTGTTACCTTATTAACTATTTATCTCAATTGTAACTCACTATAATGTGTAATAATTATCCTGCTATTACCTTATTAACTATTTATCAACATTGCAACTCATTACAGCATATTATTATTATATCCTAGTATTATCTTATTTAAAATTACAACTCACTACAATGTGTAATTACTATCCTGCCTTATTAAACTTTTATTCAAATTGCAACTCATTACAGCATATTATTATTATATCCTAGTATTATCTTATTTTAAATTACAACTCACTACAATGTGTAATTATTATCCTGCCTTATTAAACTATTATTTAAATTGCAACTCATTACAGCTTATTATTATTATATCCTAGTATTATCTTATTTAAAATTACAAATCACTACAATGTGTAATTATTATCCTGCCTTATATAATTAATATCCTTTCATTACCTTATTAAAACTATTTTAGTTTTGTTTCCAGGTTTCTTGAACTCCAAGTTGAACATATTAACTCCTGTAGTTGGCAGGGTTTCCTTGTCTGAAAACCCTGCCAACTTATTGTATAATATTGAAATATTTACCTTATAGCTAAATTGTATAATATTGAGATATTTACCTTATAGCTAAATTGTATAATATTGAGATATTTACCAAATAGCTAAATTGTATGATATTGAGATATTTACCATATAGCTAAATTGTACAATATTGAGATATTTACCTTTCAGCTAAATTGTATAATATTGAGATATTTACCATATAGCTAAATTGTATAATATTGAGATATTTACCATATAGCTAAATTGTATAATATCAAGATATTTACCAAGTAGCTAAATTGTATAATATTGAGATATTTACCATATAGCTAAATTGCATAATATTAAGATATTTACCATATAGCTAAATTGCATAATATTGAGATATTTACAATATAGCTAAATTGTATAATATCTAGATATTTACCATAAAGCTAAATTGTATAATATTAAGATATTTACCAAATAGCTAAATTGTATAATATTGAGATATTTACCATAAAGCAAAATTGTATAATATTGAGATATTTACCATATAGCTAAATTGTATAATATTGATATATTTACCATATAGCTAAATTGTATAGTATTGAGATATTTACCATAGAGCTAAATTGTATAATATTGAGATATTTACCATATAGCTAAATTGTATAATATGGAGATATTTACCATATAGCTAAATTGTATAATATTAAGATATTTACCAAAATGGGGAAATGACAAGAAAACGTAAAATAATGGGTTTCTTTTTTAATCCAATCTTGATTTTTTAAGGGAGTTATTTTGCCACAAACTCAAATTTTCTAATCCTTATATCTTGGGAACCTAATGGTTTTTTATTTATCTTAATTGTGTTAAATTGTCCAACCCTTACTCTGTGTTTCTGCTGTAAATAATCCAACCAAATTAAAAAGCGAGAATACAAAAAGTAAACCTACAGCAATATTTTACTTGAAGAAATTCTTATGAATTGTATTCTGACTTGATAACAGTGCTTAGGATCCGGATCCGGATCCGTTGGATCCGCAAGATTTTGGCTTCCGGATCCAACGGGTAAAATATCAACCAAAAACTGCTAAAAAAACTTTTTACTCCTAAAACCAAAATCTGAACTTCTGAAAAAAAGAGAATTATAAAAATTTCCTCATTTCTGAATGGTTAATCAAGTTTTAGGATAAAAATATGCGAAAAAAATAAAACAAAAAATTTGAAAATTATTTTTTGTTAAAAAGATTCAGTAAATCTTGTAGAAATGACCTGGATCCGGATCCATTTTTTTCCAGGGCGGATCCAGGATCCGGATCTGCATCAAAATTAAATGGATCCTAAGCACTGCTTGATAAGATAAAACTTTGTTCACAATATTTTAATTTTACAGATGGAAAGAGGCTTTTATGGTTGGGATGGCTCCTCCCGTTGATCTAAGCGCCTCTCATCAAAACTCTCTACGTATTACCTCTCTAACAGAACTCTCAGTGCATGGATTAAAGAGTTCCAGCGACAAGTAGAAAGTTGAAAATTTGTTGAATTTTTTGTTAGTCTTATCTGGCCTCCATTCGCAGATAATCGATAATCATTTGATTCTCAAAATACTGTTTAAAATATATATATTCAGATAAAATGTCCGAAGATTATTCCTATATACTTGTAGAACAGTATGCCACAGAGGTAATTTCAAAGATTAAATATTAAAATATTGAATTACAAAAATTGTTCCTCATTATTTTAGATAGCGCTGTATCAAATCTCTCTTTCAAGTGACCCTCCATTTACTGAGTTGCCTGCCTGTTGCAAGACCAAAAGTTATCAAAATATTCTTGTTTTAAGTCCGAAAATTGATAGTTATGAGTTGTGGCTTCCCTAAAAAAAGTTCATTGACACGGCAGAGAAAAGGAATGTATATAAAAGATTGTAATTCCTTTTAAATGTAAAGATAAACAACGATATCTTCCTCATCGTTGCTCAGATTAATTTATATAGGTTTTGTGTCCCTGGATGCTTGAAATTACGTTTACAGTCGCTTTAAGTTCTAAATTTTAACTAAAAACTATTCTTATTTTAGGTTCTTGATTTTTCAAGTCAATATGGTTCAGATAACAGTATATCTTACACAGCACATAATATCACAGGTTTTAATTTTTATTTTTGTTTGAAAATAGATCACAAATTAGGCGTGCAGACAAAAACTTGGATAGATTTAACCAAAAATAAATACAGCACCCCCCCCCCTCATCAAATAGGAAATCTCCACCATACCCTTTTTAATTTTCAACTTACTCTTGCTCTGCTGAACCTTAAATCAGGTTTAATTCAACTTAATATTCAATTTTATTTAATTTAGGGCATATCTTTATCGAGAAACAATGGATTAAATAAATGCTTCGTTGTTTTTATAATTCGAAAAAATGTTCCGTCCTGAAAAAGGACACAGATATTTTTTATTAGATATGTAAAAGACGCTTTTCCTTCACATTCTTTCAGAATTTAGAATTATTTCTTGAGCATGAAAATTTTCCCAAACTCTAGGAATGCCCAGTAAGTTTCCGTCCTATGGTGATTTCTCCCAGACCTATGTAATGCGAGATTATGGGCCCTGGTGGAAGGATTGTCCTAGTGGCAAGGTAGGCCGGGGTATTATTTTTTTAATATCCCTGTCACTTTATTTTCCCTTAACCAAGTGTATTTTAAAATTTGTTTCTTTCTGATATATTTGCGATTGTTTCAAAATTCATTTATTTTCTTCAACATTAAAATCAATCTTAAGAATTTTTCTTAAATCAGAATCTTTTTTATATTGCCTATGTAGATCAAAACCTGCTTTGCGTTACACATTTTTGGACCTTTATGCTTATCTAAAAATTTAAATCGCATGTCATTCTCATAATATCCTGCATCAAATTTGGCCTGTTATACAGTAAGAACCAGAAAACTGGGGAATGGAAAAATTACGTTTAGACTTAGGATTTGACTTTGAATAGTCCTATGAACATGAGACAATTGTGCAATGTAAGCTGACCTGTTTCACTTGATAGGTGGTTATATAACTTACTTGTAAAACTATTTCTTTGTAACAATATCTCATAAACTTATTGTTTTAATGTCGTCTTTCTATTCCACAGTTTTCTGGTTCCCACTGTTAAAATAGTAATTATAGCGCTTCAAGTTTAAAAAATACGGGGTTTTTGAGAAAAATCTTGTTCGTTAATATATTTTCAAAAATGTTAGAAACTGTTCCAGGTTTGGAGAAAGCCGTTTAATTCTCCTAAAAGTAATATCAAACCTCCAGGTAAATACTTGAAATGTACGTAACGTAAACTTACAGTGGTCCCCAGAATAAATTAGAACATTGAGACGACCCTAGGTCTTCAATCTATTTAGTTAATCTATATTATAAAACAAGACATTCGTATAAATATATGTTTCCTATAGCCGGCCAAACGGCCGGACCGATTGGGCTGACATTTTTTGTTAACACTTAGGGGTGACTGGGGATTGTTAAAGGCTATAAAAAATTCTAAATTTTTTTTCAAATTTTTTAAAACTTTTTTTTTCACGGGCCCTTCGCCCTTCTATTTATTAAATGTATTTTTTAATAATAATTATTATTTATCTAATTTTGAAAAATTTCTTTTAAGTCAATCTTTTTGTCATCCTCAGATTACTAAAATCAATAAAAATATCTTGAATTGTTTTTTTAATTTTCTAATTAGGATTAAAAGTTTATCAAATTTTGTACATCATTTGATGCGAATTGTTTTACGACATTTTTTCATCTACTTTTTTTTAGACAATTTTATTGACATAAAATACGAGCACTGTGTTTATCCAATCCGGATTCATGTTTACGAGACCTACAATCCTGGTGGTATTACGGCCATCTGGGCAGGTATTCATTTTTTATGTCATTTTTAACAGTGAAACCCTAAATAACGAATACATCGGAACAATTTATCAAATGTCGTCTTGACAATTTTTCAATGAGTTTTATACTATATTTCGTAAATTTCAATATTTGCGAAAATAAATATATAGCCATGAATATGCGGGAACAGTTTTAAAGAGTTCCATATAATCATTTAATTAAATAACTAAATATCTACAACATTCCATTGTCAGAAAGTGAAGAATACGAAATTTTATGAATTCTTTCGATGTATTCGTTATTAAGGGTTTCACTGTAGTATAATTCATGACGGGCCGTAATCCGCGTGGTGAGTTCAAATGCCTTGTTACATTCTTAGATAAAATTTGATGTTCATTGATAATATGAATGAATATAAAAACTGAACATGAACTAAGTAAATGTCATTTGATTAATCTAGAAGACTAGAATTATACTTTGTTCAATGTTTGTTCGCCAAATCTCAAGCTATCTTTTTGATGTTAAACATTTAATATTTAATATCAAAATATTTTTGCACCATCTTTTAACTGTGATACAAAAGTTAAAGTTTGAAGTTTTCTTTTAAAAAGAAATAATTTTATTTGAAGGAAATTGTCAGGGAAACTGGAAACTCCTTTGGGGTATTTCATCTTCAAAAGAAAATCAGGTTTTTATTAATTTCAAGATAAAATTAAATGAATTGTAGCTAGATTATAAAATATGAATTGATTTGTATTCAATGTTTCTGTAGCAGCACTATGAGTCTGACTGCTGGTTATCATTCTCTATCTTCATTCTAACGAACACTCCCTTTAATCTTAAATTTAATTTCGTACATGTTTCTTTTTAAATATTATCCTATTTAGCTTGTCTTGTCATAAGACTATTGAAAATTAATTATTTTAATCAATTGAATTTGTATACTGTACTTGGCCATACTGTACTGTTCTGTACTTTACTGAACTGTACTGCACTGTACTGTACAACTGAACTGTACTGCACTGTACTGTACAATACTGCACTGCACGTTACTGTACCGTACTGTACTGTGCTGTGCTGTGCTGTACTGTGCAGTTAATACAATATATGGTACACTGTACAGGATGTATCCCAGAGACCCCGTATTTTTTCTCCTCCACTTCAACAAACAAGCTTTCCAACAAAACTTTTAAGGTTAATTGGTTTAATAAACTAAATAGTCCTTAAACTTATTGAGCGTAACCAAATTGTCTCAATTAAAATTACTTTAATTTTTTCTGGTTTTTTTTCTGGCGCAAAATATTTTGCTTTCGTGTGTGAGAAAAACAACCGAAGCAAGAAAAACAACCAAAGTAGGAAAAACGACCAAAGTAAGAAAAACAACCAAAGTAAGAAAAACAACCAAAGTAATAAAAACAACCAAAGTAAGAAAAACGACCAAAGTAAGAAAAACAACCAAAGTAAGAAAAACAACCAAAATCATGGGTTGATTTTTTTATACTTTAAGGAACTGTCAATTATTTATATATTTATAGTTTCAAGTAACTCTTCCTTCATAAATGGCAATGCCCGATTCACAACGGTGTCCTGGAAAGCTTTGTCTGATTCACAACGGTGTCCTGGAAAGCTTTGTCTGATTCACAACGGTGTCCTGGAAAGCTTTGTCTGATTCACAACGGTGTCCTGGAAAGCTTTGTCTGATTCACAACGGTGTCCTGGAAAGCTTTGTCTGATTCACAACGGTGTCCTGGAAAGCTTTGTCTGATTCACAACGGTGTCCTGGAAAGCTTTGTCTGATTCACAACGGTGTCCTGGAAAGCTTTGTCTGATTCACAACGGTGTCCTGGAAAGCTTTGTCTGATTCACAACGGTGTCCTGGAAAGCTTTGTCTGATTCACAACGGTGTCCTGGAAAGCTTTGTCTGATTCACAACGGTGTCCTGGAAAGCTTTGTCTGATTCACAACGGTGTCCTGGAAAGCTTTGTCTGATTCACAACGGTGTCCTGGAAAGCTTTGTCTGATTCACAACGGTGTCCTGGAAAGCTTTGTCTGATTCACANATGAGTCACTTGAATATTTTCAATAAATTTGAGACTAACATCTACTTTTTTACTCTACAGAGGTTTGGTCCATCACCATCACCGAATTTTAAATTTGAATAAGATATCATTGTTTAGAGTTTTGAAAACTGATTAGTTTTATCTGTTGGGTGGGTTCTCTTCAAAAGTAACTTAGGCATTTCTACTCCAACAAAGCAGATGAATTGTAAGAATTAAATATTTAAAAACCTATAAAAACAACACATCTTCCACATTATTGATCAGGTAAAGGTTTCAAGGGTAAATTGACCAGTTTAAATAATGTCCGATAAGAGGTTAAGGGTTGGTGGGTGGTTTGGGTTCCTGTGTGCTATTATTCGAGCAGGGAGTCACTAATAAAAAACAAACCTTAGATAGAAGATACATTCGTAATTATTTTTTTAGACTTGAGTTTGAACAGACACATTTGCTATATTACACAGAAATAGATGCAGTTGCACTTTTAGGTGAATAACTCTTTTATCATTTAACTCTGTTTAGTTAAAATTCGTGTAACGTTTTCAACAATTAAGTAGGAATTCTTATATTTAATAATTGAAAAGTTCTTGACATATTGAATTACAAGTAGCACAAGCTAATAGCGATTGGGCAATAAATTCGTTCATTTGTGTAAACCTTGTAGGAATCAACACAATTCTGAAAAGTTTAAAAATTTCAAACATTTGCATTCTTCCTTGCACTTTGTCAAAATTTAATCCTGATATGCGTTACATACAAACAACTAACCAAAGTCCAAAAACTTTAAAATCTAACCAAGGTAATGCCATCACTATATGTTGTACTCCATGAACCTCTCCTATGTGATTGTAGTATACAACTGTAGTAAAATTAATGATTTAGGTACCCTGTCTCCAGTATCAACTGAAGCAAGGATAGGAGCTATGCTTCCTGAGAATATGGGAGAAATTATGAAAACTATTGTAAAAAGAAAACTGCACATATTACCGCAGGTAAATCCTCGAAAATCAAAATTTTGGACACAGTGCATTCTCAGTAAATTTACCTGATACATAATTCTGATTAGCCAAGGAACATACTGTGTCCATGTAAATTTACCTGATACATAATTCTGATTAGATGGGGAACATACTGTGTCCATGTAAATTTACCTGATACATAATTCTGATTAGCCAAGGAACATACTGTGTCCATGTAAATTTACCTGATACATAATTCTGATTAGATGGGGAACATACTGTGTCTATGTAAATTTACCTGATACATAATTCTGATTAGCCAAGGAACATACTGTGTCCATGTAAATTTTACTTAATACATAATTCTTATTAGCCAAGGAACATACTGTGTCCATGTAAATTTACCTGATACATAATTCTGATTAGCCAAGGAACATACTGTGTCCATGTAAATTTACCTGATACATAATTCTGATTAGCCAAGGAACATACTGTGTCCATGTAAATTTACCTGATACATAATTCTGATTAGATGAGGAACATACTGTGTCCATGTAAATTTACCTGATACATAATTCTGATTAGATGGGGAACATACTGTGTCCATGTAAATTTACCTGATACATAATTCTGATTAGATGGGGAACATACTGTGTCCATGTAAATTTTACTTAATACATAATTCTGATTAGCCAAGGAACATACTGTGTCCATGTAAATTTTACTTAATACATAATTCTTATTAGCCAAGGAACATACTGTGTCCATGTAAATTGTTTTTTTAAATAGTGACATTTCAATTGAGCAATTTTAACGTTTATTGGGAACAAACAAACTAGTCAATATAAATAAAAATAACTTTAAAAAAATTTACAAAAAAATATTTGTTTTATAATCCATTGTTTTCTACTGTTTAGGACACAGATAAGATAATTTATAATTGTGCAACAATGTTAAATAAAAGATCTCTTCAAGCTTTCCAATCCAGATTAGAGGAGAGAGAGAGAAATCCAGGAGATAGTAATTTAGGCAAGAAAGAAACTTTTAAACCAAATTTATTTTTAATCAAGGGACTGTAACCGTTTTTTCAAGAGACACAATGTATTGAGGAGCATTTTCGAGTGACAACCGTGCTTTAATACCTTTATTTGAGCAAACAGGATGAAGTTTTCCCTGTTTATCATTGAAAAATTGACTTTCACAACGGGATCACCTTTAACTTCTAGCTGAGTAACATAAGGAAGATATCGGGGTTTTTAAGTTTTTCGTTTGAAGACTTTAATCTGCTTCTTCTGGGTTTTTTGACGATATTTTTTTAACAGTATATGACATGGTTTCCAAATTTTTTTATTTTTCTTTAACAGTCAAGAAACTTATTGTGGCAAAAAATCAAACTCCCAAGTCAACTGCCTGACTGTCAAAATGCGGCCCGAAAAAGTTTTTTGATGTAATTTTTACTGATTTTACTTCAAAAAGTCTTCTTAGGCAGTAATTGGGCAACTATACAGTTCACTTAAGGCTTTGATTTTTTTGCTAAAACATGTCTTATGACTGTTAAGGAAAATTCACAAAATTTGGGGACCCTGCCATCAATAGTTCTAAAAATATCGCAAAAAAACACAGAATAATCTTGATTAATCTTTGAACCTACAGTTACGATTGAGTTTAGACTTAAAAATGCAGTTGATTTCTACAATTTCTTTTAAATGGATTTACTTTAAACTCCCTAGGTGGCATTTTCTAAAAATTTAGATTATAACTCAGAAGCCTGCCTATTAATATATTCCGAAAAAAAATTTAGGTGTTTTGACTTGAATCCTGATGGTTCATTTTCAGCAGTGTGCAGGATTTTCTCAGATAGTGTTTTAAATGTGTTCTTTTATAATTTTTAGAAACATCATTTTGAAAGAAAAAAGAAATACTAAATTAAGTGAAGTTCTGGTTCAAAATATTGAATAGAAATTTTTCCTTTTAGTCAAAAGTTTCCCTCCTTTTGCTAAGGTTTATTTGACCGGCTGCCTCGTGAAATAATGCTGCATATCCTGAGCTACCTGGATCTAATTACACTCGTTCAAATCTCCGGAGTCTCAACTCTCTTCAGGGAAACTTTGAGCATTAATAAGATAGAAACTTGGAATTCAATTTTACTTTGCTGCCTCAAATTTTTAGAGGCCTTTTTTTCTTTCCCATACCTGATTTTACAACAACTCTGATTGACGGAAAAACTAGTAATTGGATCAAGAGTAAAGATATTATATTTGGATTTTGGAATTTTGGTTTGATGTAAAAAGTTTGAATTACAGAGAGTTCGTATCAGATCCTTACCTCTACACTTCTCTAGACCTTAAAGATATTTTCTACTGTGCTTCATCACAAACATTAAGCTGGCTGGAGACAAGGTAAAATATTTGTTTTGATATCGTGGATGTCAACTCTGCAAACCCAAAGCTTTAACATAAGAATATATTCAAGGGTCTAATTTTTATTTTGTATTGCATGTTCGCCTCACAATGGTACCCTTTACATCTTTCTCTGAGCAAGATACAAGTGTTGAATTCGCCGTAATAGAGAAACCACAAATTAAGAGTATCAATTTTCAGATAGAAAACAAGGAAATCTTCATAATCTTTGCTCAGTCTAAGGTCTTAAAAGAACCATTATAAATCGGGCATATGAGAGAAGTGGGTGGAGGCGGTTAGTTCAAGTACTCGAGTACCACTGTGAGAAGAGAGAAGTGGGTGCAGGCGGTTAGTTCAACTACTCGAGTACCACTGTGAGAAGAGAGAAGTGGGTGAAGGCGTATAGTTCAAGTACTCGAGTACCACTGTGAGAAGAGAGAAGTGGGTGAAGGCGGTTAGTTCAAGTACTCGAGTACCACTGTGAGAAGAGAGAAGTGGGTGCAGGCGGTTAGTTCAACTACTCGAGTACCACTGTGAGAAGAGAGAAGTGGGTGAAGGCGTATAGTTCAAGTACTCGAGTACCACTGTGAGAAGAGAGAAGTGGGTGAAGGCGGTTAGTTCAAGTACTCGAGTACCACTGTGGCACCAAGATTATTTTGAACTCAGAGAGTTTATTCGACTTCAGCAGCGGCAATATTAAAGTTGTTCAATGTTCCACTATCAATATCTAGTTCAACTAATTAGGTGTTCTGCCCTGGTTGAACTGGATCTATCCTGGTGTGGAAACTATGGAAAAATTAAACCATCAGCTCTTCAGCAGTTTATTGAAACCACTGGACACACATTAAATTCAATCAGGAAACTTAATCAAACATATCAATATCTGATACTGCGATCTTTTAAATAATTTTCAGGGGATTCCACCCCCCCCCCCCTCTATATCTAAGTAAAATCTTTGAAGAAGGCAGGCAAAATATCAATGGTAATATTGGTCTACAGATTAGACTATTTATTTTTTCTATGTTGTTATATTCGTCTAATGTCTATTAATTGGTTTATTGGACTCATAATTTGATTTATTGGTCTAGTAATTGATTTATTGGTCTAATAATTGATTTATTGGTCTAATAATTGATTTATTGGCCTAATAATTGATTTTTTGGTCTAATAATTGATTTTAAGGTCCAATAATTGATTTATTGGTCTAGTAATTTTTTTATTGGCCTAATAATTGATGTTTTCGTTCTTCTAATTGATTTATTGGTCTAATAATTAATGTATTGGTCCAATAATTGATTTCTTGGTCTAATGATTAATTTTTTGGCCTAATAGTTGATTTATTTGTCTTATAATTGATTTTTTGGTCTAATAATTGATTTTAAGGTCCAATAATTGATTTCTTGGTCTAACAATGGATTTATTGGTCTAAAAATTGATTTTAAGGTCCAATAATTGATTATTTGTCTAATAATTGATGTATTGGTCTAATAGTTGATTTATTGGTCTAATAATTAATTTATTGGCCAAACAAATGATTTATTGACCAAATAAGTTGGTCCAATAATTGATTTATTGGTCAATAGTTAGGTTATTGGCCTAATAATTGAGTTATTGGTCTAATAATTAATTTATTGGTCTTATAATTAATTTATTGGCCTATTAAATGATCTATTTGCATAATAAATGATTTATTGGTCTAATAAATGATTTTTTGATCTAAAAATTGATTTTAAGGTCCAATAGTTGATTTATTACTCTAATAATTAATTTATTGGTCTAATACTTGATGTAATGGTCTAAAAATTAATTTTTCTGTCTATTGGTCTAATACTTGATTTATTGATTTAACAAATGATTTATTAGACTAAAAATTGATTGATTGATGAATTGGTTGGTATAGACTGGACAATTGTCACGTGGCAACAGTATCTGTTCTTAACACCATTGTCTCCTTTTCCCCCAACCTGAAAGTAAGAACACTATATAGACTAACTAAATAAGTTAAAAATTAAAAAATTAAACAAATAATTTATAAAATATTATTGTACAATGTAAGCTGTTTAATTGAACTGTATGTATTGTCCACGTAACTTAACTATATAAAACTAACTATATTGTAAAACTGCGCGACATTTTGCTAATGTTTATCTGTGTTTGCACATGTCTTATAGTTTGAACCGTAGAGTGTACTGTCTGTACTCGATAACACTTAAGCACTTGAACTTCACATTGTTTTACACTTTATCTTTATTTTGTACTTCATGTACATTTTAAACTATGTATTATTTGTCACAGTAAAATGTACACAAATCCGGTCCTACCTACCTTTAATATGCATATCATATTATGTACACTAAACTTTACACTATACAGTGTACTTTGTGTACTGTCTTGTGGTGCACGGTATCCATTCTAAACTAAACTGTATATTGCACTGTATACATTAAACTCTTTATTGCACTGAACTGTATCTATATTAAACAGTGTACTGTTTCTACACTAAACTCTTAATTGTACTGTATTTTTACTAAAATGTATAGTGTACTTTTCTATATTAAACTGTATAGTGTACTGTATTTACTCTAAACTGTAGAGTAGTGTACTGTATCTTTACTTAACTGAATTATGTACTGTAAACACTAAATAAAATCATGTATTGTATGTACAATCTACACTATAACCTTTATTGATAAACAGAGACTGAGCCTGGGGAACTGTCATCTGTTAACTCTGCCAGATTTCCATCTTCTCTCACAACTAGAGAATTTAGTTTCTTTAAACCTTTACAGGAATGATTAATTTTAACATTTTCACAGAAATTATTAATTTAAAACCCTTTACGAGACTAATTGATTATTAACCTTTTTGAGAAAAAAAAAATTATTTAACCCGTTCATTTAATATTTTTAATGGTCAATTTTAAAGTTTTACAGAAATGATTAAAATGAAGCCTTTACATCAATATTCAATAATCAATCTAAACTTTTACAGAATTGATTTATTTTTAACATTTACGGGAAGGAATAATTTAAATTCTTTACGGGAATCTTTAAACTTTTACGGGAATGATTTATTTAAAACTTCTGCAGAAATGATTAATTTAAACCTTTATGGGAATGATGATTGATTTTAAACTTTTAAATGAATAAATAACTTTAAACACTTCCGAAAATTTTAATTTGTTTTAATTAAGTCAAACCGATTTAACTTGTTATCTCATTTGCACAAGCATGAACTGGCATACAGAGAAATAAAGAAGTTTTTAATTATTTTAGAAGAAAAAGCTTACTAACTTAATCCTTATGACGTTAGAACCTCAGTGGGCCAAACTTCTATTATAACTATCCTCTGTAATAACAGGTTATATAATTGAATAAAGACAATTTGTGTTCCACTAAACATGATAGTTCAATTTACATACGACAGGTCGTCTTCAATTTACAGATGACAGGTCGTCTTACTTAAAATGTATTGCAGGACAAATAATAAAAAGTGATTTTATTAGAAGAAAAAAAAACAAAGGAAATAGTGAATAAAATTGCTTTTGTTGTAATGTTTAAATAACAGTAAACTTACAAAACGGGAAAATTGTTTTCAAAGTAATTAACTATTTTCTGAATAAGTTGAATATATTGTAAACAAATTATGTTGTTCTTGTCTGTTTTCCTTCCCAGACAGTTTTATTTTAGGAAGCTAAAGCATCTTTGCTTGGCTGGATGTCAGAATATAGATGGAGATGAAGTTTGTATAGTCTTAAGGAACATACATAATATTAAACCATGGACAATTTTGAAGTTAAAAACGAAATTTACAGAAAAATGTTTTGTTTTTCACCTTTTTTCCAAGTTGCAGATCTTACCTCGAATAAATCGTATATTTCACTAACTTTATTTTATTCCACATTTGGCCTTAGTCCAGTTTTCAGCTAGATCTCAAAAATTATTGATCATTGGATCTTTACTCTAAACCTTACTCTTATCCTTATGTTTATCCTTATTCATCCTTATTCATCATCCTTATTTTTATTCTTATTCATCCTTAGTCATCCTTATTTTTATCTCATATACATCTTTACTCTAATCCACAGTTTTCCTTGTTCATGTATTTTATCCTCTATGTACTCTCCAGTCATTGTCAGTTAGATCTTGAGTGCTTGGATTTATGGAGATTAGCATTATCTCATGTACATCTTTATTCTAATCCACAGTTTTCCTTGTTCATGTATTTTATCCTCTATGTACTCTCCAGTCATTGTCAGTTAGATCTTGAATGCCTGGATCTATGGAGATGTAGTACTCTGTCGGATAGAGGGATTGCATCCCTTTCACTCTGCACAAAACTTAGGTAAAACAGGGGGTGCTAGAAAATGGCGTTATGACAACCCCTGAAAATAAAACGGCTATGCTACAGTTAAACCCAGAACTTTGGAGACATCGAAAGAATTTGTAAAATGTCATTTCTTAACCTACTGATAATGGAAAAATATTTAGTTTTTTAATTGAATATATAATTGAGCTCTTTAAAACAGTGCCCGCATATTTCATGGCTATTTATTTGTTTTTACAATTACTGAGATTTAGGTTTGAGGTTATAGTATTGAAAAGTTGTCACTACAGCATTATAAAAATTCTTTCGATGTCTCCGAAGTTCTGGGTTTAAACTGTATGAATATTAAAACAGTATTTACTAGTAAAAAAGTAATTCAAACAGGTGTACTTTAGAAAACTCGATAAAATAATAGGGTGTGCTAAAATAAAAGTAGAATCTCAAAGAAAAAAATGAATTAGGACAAAGTTTTTGTTTTTCTAGGGATCTTGATATTGGATGGTGCCTTAGTATTCCAGGGGGTACAGGTTGTATATTATTCTTATTAATACATTCCTTTCAAATAAGAAATTATGGTTTTTATTAAGTCAGTATATGTTTTACCTTAAAGGGATTGTTTATTGAATTAGTAATGGTGTCACCATTTTTTGCATTACAAATAAAGATCATCAAAATCTGTCAAAAAGTTTTTAAAAAGAGTTTTTGTTCGGACGCAGGCATTTATGTTCTCACAGAAAAATAACTTAAATTTATTTGTAAATCAGGATTTATTTTTGTTCTTATTCACGGAAAGTATTGAGAAAAATGCGCGAATACTTCCGAATTAGTGAAATCAGTTTAAAACAACAAAGGAATTGAGTTTTTGCCACAAATCCCAATTTTATAATAACTAAATCTCAACAACCAGATAATGCATACCTTTCATATTTCAAACTTACATTGCTTGATCCACCAGAATTCATAGTTTGAAATTCTACGGTCTGTAACATTTGGTTTTAAAGAAATTGGGATTTAAAAATACGAGTTTGTTGTAAAGACTCAATTCCTTTCCTGGAAGATATAATCGCAAAATTACAAAGTTGAGAACTGAGAAGCACAAAAATGTGATTAATGTGTCAAAAATCAAATTTCGAAATTTTAATTGATGGTTGATTGATTTTATCTTTGTAAAGGTGCCTTGGTACATTTGATTGAAAGCTGTCCAGGGCTAGAACGTCTTTATCTCACCGCTCACAGGTAAGGAAAATCAGGGAGCTTCGCATCCCTCTTTTGTAAATCTAAATTTTTATTTTTCTGTTAAAGTTTCGTAAAATCGTAGTCCCCCCTAAAATCTTTCTATTTTGCCTTGAATCGTATAATCACGCAAAGTTGCCCCTCCTGCGGGGGGGGGGCCAGAAGAACTACGACAAGAGTGGACCAGATATTCCTGCCTTTTTAAAAACTGTATGATTTAACAACAAATTTTTTCGAAGAGTTTTTATTGTGAACTTATATGATTTCAATTTGAATACATTCCTGCACTTTGATTGATGATTATATCAGATGATAATAATGATACTTATAAACAGAAATATATTTATTTTCTGTTTTTAGACAAACTGGAAACAGAGAACTTAAAGCTTTGTGTAAATTGAAGAATTTAAAACAGTTGGATATTTTGGGGAACAGAAATATTACTTTTTCTGCATTACAGGTAAAAAATATATTTTAAAATACAGTGGGAGCATTAAACTGTGAAGTAGGTAGACGACTGTTGATTTAAATATTTATTTTTTGTGGTTGTTAATGATAATGTTATTTATTTTTTACTTGTAAAGTAATAGTTATCGTTTGTTATTTTCATTTTTAATGTTATCGATATTGTTTTTGTTATGGTGTTGATTATTTTTGTTGTTGTTTTATTTTTATATTGTTATGGTTATTGTTATCGTTATCGTTATTCTTATCTTTACTGTTAATGTTATCGTTATTGTCATTCTTATTGTTATGTTTATTGTTACTGTTATCCATATTGTTATTGTTATTGGTATTGTTATAATTATTGTTATGTTCTTGTTATTTTTATTGCTATTGTTGTTCTTATGGCTATTGTTATGGTCATTGTTACGATTATGGTAATGGTTATGTTTATGGTTATGGTTATGGTTATGGTTATGGTTATGGTTATGGTTATGGTTATGGTTATGGTTACGGTTATTGTTATTGTGATTCTTATAGTTATTGATATCGTTATCCTTGTTTAGGAGCTGGTTAGTTTTGTACCGAGCTTGCAGCTGGTTGATGCTAGCTTCTGTACCCAGCTAGAGGAGGCAGAAGTTAGACAGCTTAGACAAGATTTTCCAAATCTCACAATTAAATGGAGCTTCATAGATGTCCAATAAATTCGTGATTTTTTGTTTTTGCATAAGATAGCTCGAGCCTAAAAGATGTATATTTGAACGTTCTTTAACATGAGGGATAGCTAGAGTCTAGCAGGTGGAAAACTTGAACCTAGAAGGTCAAATTTTTCTTGTATCATTTTGATGTAAATATTTTTTATCGTTTTTATGATATTTACACCTTTTCCAACTTATCCCGTTAATTATATAGTTTTTGTGCGCTTTTTGTCGAAAAAAACAATTTCTCACATTTTTGATAAATAAAGTCAAAATTTTACCTTTACAGAATAATGGCGTCTAAAGTGTTGACGAAGCTATGCATGAGCCGAATGCTGGGATCTGGAACCAGAAATCTGCCCAGGTAAAAATGGAAAATATTATTAAAGGGACTTTAGACGAAATTTCTAGTGACCCTTTATTAAAAAAATGGCATGTCTTATTCACAGCGGTTCCCTATAAACCTTTAGTTTTTTTCTCGTTAAACGGTTGAATTTGGATAATGTTATTTTTCAGAAACAAAATTCAAAAACAATCTCCTAAAATATGTTGTATAACCTAGACATCAATCCACGAGTGCGCATGCAGATCTGGAAGCATCTGGTTCTGTTCCTGTTGTTACTTCTTTAGACAGTAAGTATTATTAATATTATTATTATTATTATATTATTGTTATTATTATTATTATTGTTGTTGTTTTTGTTGTTATTTGTATTATTATTATTATTATTAATATTATTATATTTAATACATTACTATTTAATACTATCATTCACTATCACTCTTATTGAAATTCTAATTTTTAATAATTTTATTTGAAAATTTGAAACCCTGAAAATGCTGTTTTGTCCAGTAAGCTCTGGGTTGACGGACGAGCAGAAGGAGTGCCAGAGTCTCGCCTTGAACTTCGCCCACAACGAAATGTTCCCCCAGATGGCAAAGTGGGACCAGGAGTCCATCTTCCCCGTCGAGGTACAAGGGGGTGGGGGTAGGGGAGGGGTGATTAAGAGTAAGGAGGGGCATTGTTGGCCGCCCTGTCCATTGATAAATTTCCAACGCCGGGAACGTCGACCCCTCTTTTTGAATGATGGCCGATGGGTTTTTTTTAAAAATATAATAATAATCAAAAGAAAAGTTTATGATTGCCAGGTTCTACGTAAGGCTGCAGAGTTGGGATTTGGAGCAGTTTATACTTCAGAGGAATATGGAGGAACAGGTCAGTTCTATTCATTAACAGAATAAAATGATTCTTTTCTTTTTAATCATCTAGATTCATTTTCTTTTTATTCATCTAGTTTCATCTTTAAATAAATCATTCATTTTCTTTTTATTCGCCTAGAAGCATTTTTATTTAAATAATGCATTTTCTTTTTATTCCTCTAGATTCATTTTTGTTTAAATAATTCATTTTCTTTTTATTCATCTAAAAGCATTTTTATTCAAATGATTCATTTTCTTTTTTTTCATCTAGATCAATTTTTATTTAAATGATTCATTTTCTTTTTATTCATCTAGACTAATTTTTATTTAAATGATTCATTTTCTTTTCATTCATTTATATTCTAGATTCATATTTATATAAATGAGTTATTTTCTTTTTATTCATCTAGATTCATTTTTATTTAAATGATTCTTTTTCTTTTTATTAATCTAGAATCATTTTTATTTAAATGATTCATTTTCTTTTTATTCATCTAGATTTATTTTTATGAAAATGATTCATTTTCTTTTTATTCATCTAGATTCATTTTAATTTAAATGATTCTTTTTATTCATCTAGAAGCATTTTTATTAAAATGATTCTTTTTCTTTTTATTCATCTAGATTCATTTTTATTTAAATGATTCTTTTTATTCATCTAGATTCATTTTTATTTAAATGATTCATTTTCTTTTTATTCATCTAGAAGAATTTTTATTTAAATGATTCATTTTCTTTTTATTCATCTAGATTCATTTTTATTTTAATGATTCTTTTTCTTTTTTCATCTAGAAGCATTTTTATTTATATGATTCATTTTCTTTTTATTCATCTAGATTCATTTTTATTCAAATGATTCTTTTTCCTTTTATTCATCTAGAAGCATTTTTATTGAAATGATTCATTTTCTTTTTATTCATCTAGAAGCATTTTTATTTAAATGATTCATTTTCTTTTTATTCGTCTGGAAGCATTTTTATTTAAATGATTCATTTCCTTTTTATTCATCTAGATTCATTTTTATTTAAATGATTCATTTCCTTTTTATTCATTTAGATTTATTTTTATTTAAATGATTCATTTTCTTTTCATTCATCTAGAATCATTTTTTTTTTAAAGGTCTTAAAATGTCATAATTTTTAAATTTGTTGTTCAGGCTTATCTAGATTGGATGCTTCTATCATATTTGAAGCTCTGTCTCAAAGTTGTGTTGTTTAGGTTTATCTAGATTGGTTGCTTCTATCATATTCAAAACTGTGTCTCAAGATTGTGTTGTTTAGGTTTATCTAGATTGGACTGTGTCTCAAGATTGTGTTGTTTAGGTTTATCTAGATTGGATGCTTCTATCATATTCAAAGCTGTGTCTCAAGATTGCGTTGTTTAGGTTTATCTAGATTGGATGCTTCTATCATATTCAAAGCTATGTCTAAAGGTTGTGTTGTTTAGGTTTATCTAGATTGGTTGCCTCTTTCACATTCAAAGCTCTGTCTCAAGGTTGTGTTGTTTAGGTTTATCTAGATTGGATGCTTCTATCATATTCGAAGCTCTGTCTCAAGGCTGTGTTTCTACATCAGCATATCTCACCATTCATAAGTAAGTAAAATCTAAAAAACATTTAAGATAAGTATAATTTTCATCACAATTTTCATTATTTAAATACCCAATATCTCTGACTTTTTTTATAGCGTTAAGACATTTTAAAAAAGCATTATGAAATTACTATTATGACATTTTTTCTGAATTTTGAAAGAATTTTAAAGCCTAAACTCTGTAAAACACTGAACTCTGGGATATCACGGGTTTGTCATTAATTCCAATCAGGGGCGTTGTCAGGAATTTGTCCAGGGCTTTTATTTTATTATTTTTTCCAGGGGGCTCAGCACCTGTTGGGACCTAAATTCTCCTGAAATTCATAGATTCCACGGGTCAAGGGGGGGCGGCTTAGCCCCTATAGCCCCCCCCCCTGACTACGCTTCTGGTTATAATAAAATTACGTTGCAGTATACATCACCACACTAAATCGAAAAACATTTACAACGACGATATTAAAATCGTCGATAAAACTTCCAGTTCATTTGTACACCACACCCTGTATGATATTCTTTCAGCATGGTGACCTGGATGATAGATAGATACGGTACAGAGTCCCAGCGGTCCAAGTGGGTCCCAATAATGGCGACCATGGAGAAGCTGGGAAGCTATTGTTTAACAGAGCCCGGAGCTGGATCAGGTATTGATAAATTTGCCCTCAATAATTCTATTAATCCGAGTCTGCATGCGAAGATATCATCATTATTAGAGTACTATCGGAGACCACATGACCGTCTCACACAGATTTTCATCAGAGGCCTCCCAGATTTTCAATGAAGACCCCGAGCTATTCATCTGAAGTACCAGATTTTCACTGGATGCGTTAAGATTTTCTTTGGACACCCCAAACTTTTTGTTTTAAACCCCGATTTTCATTGGAGACCCCCAGATTTACACTTGAGCCCCCGGATCTCCATTGAAAATATGGGTTTCCAATAATAATCTGGGGGTCTCCTGGGGTCTCTAAAGAAAAGATTGTTGTCTCCATGATAAGTATGGGGTCTAAGATAAAAATCTGGGGGTCTCCGATGAAAATATTGGTGTCTCCAATATAAATGTTCTTGGGGGTCTCCAATTGTACTCCAATGTGATGATATTTACCGGATTAAGATACTTCCTTTTGGATATCCCTTAAGATCCGACCAATCCGTAATCCACTAAAACTTTTCCAATGAGATATTACTAAACTGCGACTCAGCTGTTTTTCTCGAATTAAACAAATTACGGTAGTCGATTTGCTCTTTTCTTATAAAAAAAAAGTTCCGCAAAGTTTAACTAGATGTTCTGAAAATTATAAAAATGGTTGACAAAAATATTTTTAAAAATGGATGAAAATTAATGAAGAAAAAAATAAATTAAATTCAAATATAAATATATTCGATTAAAAACGTGAAAAGATTAGATTTGGCTCGGTATTTAGAATCCTTGTCTCAACAAACTTTGTTTAAGATGCTGCATCTCTGTCAACTACAGCAAGAAAGGAAGGGAACAAGTATATTCTCAACGGATCTAAAGCATTCATTAGTGGAGCAGGAGCTACTGATGTTTATTTGGTTATGTGCAGAACAGGAGGAGCAGGGCCTAAGGTTGGTAAATGAACAGGAGGAGCAGGACATAATATAATGAATAGGTGTAGGACCTAAGGTTAGATAATGAACAGGAGGAGTAGGACCTAAGGTTAGATAATGAACAGGAGGAGTAGGACCTAAGGTTAGATAATGAACAGGAGGAGTAGGACCTACGGTTAGATAATAAACGGGAGGATAGGTCCTAAGATTGGATAATAAACAGGAGGATAGGACCTAAGGTTGGATAATAAACAGGAGGAGCAGGACATAATATAATGAATAAGAGGAGTAGGAACTAAGGTTAGATAATGAACAAGAGAGAAGAGTTTAAGGTTGGGTAATTAACAGGAGGACCAGGACATAAAATAATGAAAAGGAGGATTAGGACCTAAGGTTAGATAATGAACATGAGAGTAGGACCTAAGATTGGATAATGAATAGGAGAGTAGGACCTAAGGTTAGTGATGAACAAGAGAGTTGGACCTAAGATTGGATAATGAACAGGAGGAGTAGGACCTAAGGTTAGATAATGAACGGGAAAGTAGAATCTAAGGTTAGATAATGAACAAGAGAGTAGGACCTAAGGTTAGTGATGAACAAGAGAGTTGGACCTAAGATTGGATAATGAACAGGAGGAGTAGGACCTAAGGCTAGATAATGAACGGGAAAGTAGAACCTAAGGTTAGATAATGAACATGAGAAACAGGACATGCGGTTAGATGATGAACAGTAATAGTAGGACCTAATGTTAGATAATGAAAAAGAGGAGTAGGACTTAAGAAGATGAGCAGGATAGGATCTAAGGTTAGATAATGAAAAGGAATTGTGTAAGACCTTGTTGTCGTATAGCAGCAAGATTCTCAATAATGAACAGATAAACAACGGGATAACCCTCAAATCAAAACCGATAATGAAGAAAATTATTTATTTCCTGAAAAAAATTGTATAAATAATAACATATAAATCGTTACAATGAATTGTTTATAATGAAAAGATTCTTACGATCTATTTTTGGATGTTAAGGGTTAAGTCGTCGGACAGTCCTAGGACGTTTTTTTTAAACTTCTGAAAAGAATGACAATTAATTATTAACGAAAGTCGCTAATTCGTTATGTGAAAATATTCTTTGTTTAACTTTTGAAAATGGATGGATTCACAGCGTTTTAAGAAATTTACACTCCGATTGGAGAACCAAGGACCGGAGCCTAAAATTATTTGGTTTGGATTGGTTTGGATCCGAGAGGGGTTTCTAAGTTAAAGACGACTTAACATGTATCATTGTTAATGGTTGACAGACCTATATTAGGAGAAATTACCCCATACGACCAAGAAAACGATACATTTCTTGTAATGGCCATATCTTGTAATCAGGGAATCTCGTGTTTACTGGTTGAAAAAGGTATGAAGGGTTTAAACTTTGGGAAGAAAGAGTTGAAGATGGGATGGAACAGTCAACCCACAAGAGCTGTCATTTTCGAGGTACGTTTTGTAATTCATAAAAAGGATTTATTTAAATTATGATCAACCAAGTATTGTGAAGGATTGTGAGGTTCCAGTTGAAAACTTAATTGGAGTTGAAGGCCAAGGGTTTAATATTGCCATGTCTGGTCTAAACGGTGGCAGAATTAATATAGGTAACACATTTTTGTTAATTCAAGTAACCTTCTATTTAGAGACCCGTTTTACAACAATACCCGCCATCCCTTTATCTGATAAATAATGTTTAAGATATTGTTGTAAAATATTTATTTCCGGCAATTTTCTCCCTTGTTTCTGAAGCAGAAATACGCAGTCATTTTACAGTGGAACCATGATTGAAAATGGTCAATTTTTAAAGAGAATATAATGGATTTCACAATCCTAAATTTTAAATATTTTAAATCAGTTCTAGTACAGTCCCTTGAAAGCCATTTTAAATCAGTTCTATTACAGTCCCTTTAAAGTTATTTTAAATCAGTTCTATTACAGTCCCTTTAAAGTTATTTTAAATCAGTTCTAGTACAGTCCCTTTAAGGACTCTCATTTTTGCCAATTTCTATTTTATTGAAGTGTAATCTATAAAAATATCTAGAACATGTAGGTTGATCAAGGGAACAAAAAAACATTTAAAAAAACAATTTTTACATTTCTCTTCACAATTGCTAAAAGTTAATGTTTTTAAATAAAATAGAAGTATAAAAATAACTTTTTTTGATTACCTTTATTCTGTTTTTGTTGTCTAGCGAGTACTTCTCTGGGTGCTGCAGCTCAATCTCTAAATATTGCCAAGGAACACCTGCAGGTAGTTTTTAGCTGGTTTTGTCTGCTTTTATCCGGTTATATCTGAGTTCATTCTGGTATCTATGTATGTTGGACCTACATTGTAGGTTCATCCGGGGTTTTTTTCGATCTTAACTGGTTTTATATGGTGTTATCTGGCTATATCTACAATTGCCGTATAGACCAGATTTTGTGTAAAAAGAATTATCTTTCTAAACGTAAAAACCTCTATATTTTTGTAATCAGAATTATTCAGTGCATTCACTGTGCAATAAAGTTGTGCAAATCATTTATTTCAGTATAAATCACAGAAATAAATGACTACGACCTTTCCAAGGAGGTTTGCCAGGTCGTCATCTCTAGCTTGCTTCTATACAGCTCGTACAACAACAATTAACATATTTCTTTGGGGTTATTGGTTATGCCTGGTGTTATCATGTTATATTTATGTCTTGGGGGTTATTTCTGTTTTTTTTCTGTTTTTATCTTGTGTTATTCGGTTATATCTATTTATTTGTGATCATATCTGGTTATATCTGGTTTTAAATGCCTTGTTTGGTGTTGTCCAGTTATGTCTGGTTTATCTGTGCTAGTTAATGTTATCTTTTTCTCTGGGTTTCTTCGTTTTCTTGGTTTATTTATATGGTATAGAAACAATCTCAAGAACTGACGAGGGTCAACCCAGACCGAAATGTATTTTCAATAAAATGTTGAACTAACATCTACTTTATTTACTCTCTAGAGGTTTGGTCCATCACCATCACCGAATTTTAAATTGTTTTTATTGTTAGAGTTGGAATTATCTAGGCCTTTTTTTCAAAAAATATTGTATTGTAAGTAAAATTCAGAGTATGTTTAGAGTCCTCCCGGAAAGTTAAGTTTTCGGGGATGCTTAAAATACATATTTATTTTTCTAAATTTTTTCATTAATTGAATTATTTTTTTGTAGGTTCGCAAACAATTTGGAAAACCTCTTGCAGATACCCAGCATAACCAGTTCCAACTGGCACAGATGGGAACCAGACTAGTCGCTTCAAGGTAAATTCAGGACTTAAATATTTTCTTTTTTGAAACAAAAATTTTAATCAACATTGATGTTTTTTTTCTGCTGTTTTGGAGTTTTTTTGAGTCCCAAAAACTAAAACTAGACTGGTACACGATTATAAATAATTTTTTAATGGAAAAGGTTTGAAATATATAAAATGGAAATTTAATGTTTTTTTGGTGTTTGTTCGTTCAAAATGTTATCAATATGTTTAAAACTGAAAGTTTGTGACAGGTGGGGGGGATTAAAGAGATATTTAGTTTTTTAATTAAATTTTTTTTAGGGCAATGGTTCGTAACGCTGCCAGAGCATTGGATTCTCAGGAATAGATACTTTTTTCTTGATCCTAAACTAAATTAATTTATAACCCCGTTTGTTTATATTTAATATAAATTAGGTGAAGCTATTGTTATAGGTTTACAGAAATCCACTAAGTGATAATGATAATTTTAATAATAACACCTATCAAAATCTTACAAGACTTATAATACTTTAAATTTGTGTGAAGTTCACAAGTCACTTTGCAACCCGTATTTAGACATAACTGACAAGAACTAAAAAATAAAATTTTAGATGGGACTCGCTCAAAATTAACTTTTCAAATCTCAAAAAAGCAGTTTTGTTAAATTCATAATATTTTGGATGAATAAAGTACTTCCCCAGCACCCTGATACAGTAGCACTCTGCAGTATGGCAAAACTATTTGCCACAGATTCTTGCTTCGATATTGTTAATACTGCCCTTCAGGTAGATATTTATTTGTTCACTGAAGGGGGGGGGGGGGCCCCTCCTTCAAAGACATCGTTTTTTATAATTGAGGGTTTTTGGAAAAATTTGAAACTATCGATGAAAAGTTTAAAATAGATTTGTGATATGATCAATTAATTGAATGATCTTTTCTGGACGACTGATTTATTTATTGGTTGGTTGCTTAGTTACTGATTGGTTAGATGGATGGTTGGTTACTTGGTTGCTTGCTTGATTGCTTTGTTGATTTATTGGTTGGTTGCTTAGTCGCTGATTGGTTAGTTGGATGGTTGGTTACTTGCTTTATTGCTTTGTTGATTTATTGGTTGTTTAACTGATTGATTTCCTAGATGCATGGTGGATACGGATACTTGAAGGATTATCCTATTGAACAATTTCTCCGAGACATCAGAGTTAACCAGATTCTAGAGGGAACTAACCAGGTATATCAAGGTATACCAGAGTTTAGAGGTAACTAGATTGGATGCTTCTATCATATTCAAAGCTATGTCTAAAGGTTGTGTTGTTTAGGTTTATCTAGATTGGTTGCCTCTTTCANTAACCAGGTATATCAAGTTTAACTAGATCATAGAAAAACTAACCAGGTATATCAAGTTTAACTAGATCCTGGAAAGAACTAACCAGGTATATCAAGGTTAACCAGATCCTAGAGGGAACTAACCAGGTATATCAGGGTTAACCAAATCCTAGAGGGAACTAACCAGGTATATCGGGGTTAACCAAATCCTAGAGGGAACTAACCAAGTTTATCAGGGTTAACCAGATTCTAGAGGGAACTAACCAGGTATATCAAGTTTAACTAGATCATAGAAAAACTAACCAGGTATATCAAGTTTAACTAGATCATAGAAAAACTAACCAGGTTTATCAAGTTTAACTAAATCATAGAAAACTAATTAGGTATATCAAGGTTAACAGATCCTAGAAAGAACTAACCAGGAATATCAAGGTTAACCAGATCCTAGAGGGAACTAACCAGTTTTACCAGAGTTAACCAGATCCTAGAAAAAACTAACCAGGTTTATCAGAGTTAACCAGATCCTAGAGGGAACTAACCAGGTTTATCAGGATCCTAGAGAGAACTAACCAGGTGTATCAAGGTTAACCAGATTCTAGAGGGAACTAACCAGGTATATCGGGGTTAACCAAATCCTAGAGGGAACTAACCAGGTATATCGGGGTTAACAAAATCCTAGAGGGAACTAACCAGGTATATCGGGGTTAACCAAATCCTAGAGGGAACTAACCAGGTTTATTAAGGTTAACCAGATTCTAGAGGGAACTAACCAGGTATATCAAGGTTAACCAGATTCTAGAGGGAGTATATCGGGGTTAACCAAATCCTAGAGGGAACTAACCAGGTTTATTAAGGTTAACCAGATTCTAGAGGGAACTAACCAGGTATATCAAGGTTAACCAGATTCTAGAGGGAACTCACCAGGTATATCGGGGTTAACCAAATCCTAAAGAGAACTAACCAGGTAGACCGTCCTAGGCTTGACTTGTGTGAACTAAAGTGATAATATTAAAATTTAAACCTAAGTTGATTTTGAATGGAAACTCAAGTTTCAGTATCTGGATTTCTTACTGGACAGATTTAGTATCTGAATCTACATAAAATGAAATGGATTCTAAATAAGACTGGGCACTTAAACAGTTTTTCAAGTCGTTTGTTCATGGTTAGTTAAAATCGTTCAATAAAAAAGTTCTGGTAGTCGTTCGTTCTAATTAGTTAAGAACTGAAAGAAATATTTAACGAGTCCAGACGTTAATGAGCCGTTCACGATAATTTCATGTTAAAATAGCTAGACAAATTTGAAGTCAAAATTTAAAAACATAAAAACACGTAAAAAAACATCAAAATACGAATATATTTTCAATTCTTGAAATTTTATGCAATTTAAAGAAAAAACTTAACTAAAGTCGCTGTTATTTTTAACACACCCTTTCGGTCTTTTTCATAAACTACAGTTAATTTTTTTTTTAATAACGGCTATTTCCCTTCGTTAAAAAGTTCAAAATTTACGGGTTTTGCCGTTGGCAAACAGAATCTTTCGTTAATTTTCAAAAACTTACCGTTTGTTAACGGAACGTTGTCCAGTCCTAATTCTAAGCACTGCACTGAGAAGATCACTTTAACGTTTTTTTGTTTTTATTAGAATCATGATTGAAATATTCATATATTATTATTGTTACAAATAGTCATCTTTACAAGTTCATATGTGTTATTATACAGTGAGAACCAGAAAACTCTGGAATTTGAAACAGATCCATTTCACTAGAAGTATAAAAATACAGCTTTCCCATAATGTCGTCTTCCTATTTAACAGTTTGCGCTTGTTCTTACTGTACTAAACTGTTTATGAATGATGATATTTTAATATTTTCTATATTAAGGTTATGCAGATTCTGATTTCTAGAAGCATTCTTACAAAATAGTTTGTTCCTAAATTCACCTGCTCACAGAATTTTGACTGTTCAGTATAATCCTCATTACTTCAAACTTCCAGGTACTGTAAACTGTTATAAAGGGACAGTACACGCAGCTTCAATTGATCCTACGGTTATAGCTCGGCATGCCAGGTTCACAACATTACACTTAAAAGCTTTGTAAGATCAAGATTAAAAGAGATATTCATGTTTTTATCTTCAAAAATAGATTATGTCCACAAGTGATTTGTCTACTAGTGGACTTCTGTTACTAGTTTGAAGGGTATCCTTTTAAATCGGATATGTTCCTCTTTAATTAAACAAACAGACCAGCCAGCAAACTGGCAAGCCAAATATATAAAAAAAAAAATTTATGAAGATCTGGAATAAAAATTATCAAGAATCAACTTCAAAGTTTTAGGAAAAATTTAAATAAATAAATAATTTTAACCTTCATAATCTTAAATTCAAAGTTTATTATCTTTATAGATGGTTTTTTGTAAACTTCTTTTATATTAATTGCAAAATAAATTTTTCCATTTAAAATTTTGAATTAAACTGCAGACCATTTGTTTTATGCAAAGTCTACGAATTTCGCAGAAAAAAGTATTTGCGAAAAAAAATTGTCTTAATATCAAATTATCATTTTAATTATTTACGAGAGATTAAACTTGAATTCTATGGAATAACGGTTTTTAATTTATTTCATGCATAAACTAGATTTGGAACTAAATTTTCTGAACAAATGTTAGTTCATACAATTTTGAATTTATGAACAAAGCCAAGAACTTCTTAAAAATTTGAGTAAATTTGATTAAAGGGTTCATGAGTTATGATCGGACATGCAAACATACAAACAGAGATTACTACATTATATATATATACTAGCTTGGGAACCCAGGGCTGCCAAGGTTACTAAAAGTTACTCCCGCCGTTTACCTGCACTTGAACGATTTTACCGGGAAAATAAATTTTTGCTTTAAAGTCGACCCAATCTTGACTTAGAATCTCAAAACCAAACAAAGAACATTCCCGTCAAAGTGAATAAATACTAAAGTGGAACAGACTAAGGAAACGACGACAGGTTGGGCCATAAGGTTTTATTTGGTTTGGAAATAATTTCATGAAAAGATTTCGTTTGGAAAGTAAAGACTAGAAAAAAATAGACTAAAGACCCGTGTAAATGTCGTCTTCAGATAGAACTTCGAAATTTTCACGATTTNATGTTTAAAAAACTATAAAATATATTTAAATTGGAGTTAACATTTGAATATAAAAAAAGAGAACAAAAAATGTTATTTAAAATATACAGTTGTTGAGTTCAAAGGGGGGTGATCTCGAATTGGGCGGTGAAGAACTGTCCCAGGCAAACAAGGGGGTATATATTTCCCAAACTGTGATCCCGGACAATTTGAAGTCTCAAGTTGGCAATAGAATGTTGGCAATAAAAGGCAATAAAAGGCAATAGTTGGCAATAGTTGGCAATAGTTCCAGAGGTCTTCTCAAATTCGCCACAGAAGGTATATTTCAATCCTATAAATATATAAATAAATAAGTATGCATTGATATAAATTGATTGATACATAAATGTTAACAATGTTTTTATTATATTATAAAACATCCTTACTAGTTGTGGATGGTGGGGTGAATTGAGGTGTCTGGTTATCAAGACTAAAATAACATTTAAACTTCTAAAATAAAATGACAATTGGTTACAAAGATATGTAAGTCACTAGTTTTAAGGTTTTTTTAACTGAATTTGAAGCGAAAGTACTGCACGTGAAGATGTTTATACTTTTGTCGGAGGAAGGTGGGAGGAGTGAAAATGTCTGGTTTGGCTGTCGTAGAATTCTTGGTCAAAGACGACTTTACAACGTAGTAAGCTCATTGTTTAAGGTTAACAACAGTATATACAAAATACATATAATATTTGAAGACTACAGAGGTAGGAACTTATTATTTTTAATCCATATAAAAAGCGCTAATCCATATCTTCAGTAATCTGAACGACTGATGAGGTCATTTTGTGGGATATATCTAAAGGTGAAACTAATCTGATTTAATTCAAATTTAAAGTGTTCACTGTGGATGTCGAGTGCAAGTTCTCCCAGGAAGATTGCAACCCATGGTAACTTTTAAGTCATACGTTATGTTTCGTGATAAAAGGAAGTCTATAAAGGTTTTACAAGACGACCATCAATTGGTGTTTTTTACTATAGACCCACCTGGCTAGATTCAAATTATTTATTGGGAACTTTGTAACACTGCTTGTTCTCAAACTGAATCCAAGAGCGCAGCGTAACATTGCCATGCTGGACATGATACTTTGACTGATTGGTTGATTGGTAATAATAATAATATTAATAATAGATTAGAAAAAAATTCTCGATTTTTTAATGCAATTACACGGCTTGTACATGCAAACTAATTAGTATTATTTTATGATTATATTATAGTATAGTAGTATTATTTTATAGGGAAAACTCTTGAATTTTGACGAGTTAGAAGATAAACTAGAAATATATCATAAATTGAGTCTCTGCTCAGATTTTCTAATTCCTATATCTTTGCAACCAAATGTCGTATACCTCAGATACTTCAAAAAATAGGAATTCTGTTATATCACTTAGAAATATCAAAGGTTTAAACCATCAGATTGCAAAGATATTAGAAAGTTTGAGTTTGCATCAAAATCTCTAATCCTTCTGCACAATTACTGCATACTTCATCTTGTTGCTTACTACAGGGTGTCCCAATAAACATGGACATTAAGTGACTACTGTTAAAATGTCTTTGATCTTCTTTAAACTGTTTTTTTAGAAAACTTAAAATGAGTAAAAACCTCATCAGCTTTTTAACCTTTTTGGAACTTTACCCGAAAGTAGTTTATTTCCTGACAAGTTTATAACTTCAGACTTGAAGAGACTAATTGCAGTTGGCCCTCCATTGTTTCAGTGGCAACCTTCAAGTCTTCAATATATCTTCGTTTTTCCATCTTAAAATTGGTTGAATTCTGTAAATTACATTCTTTGTCTCTGCTGCATATAATCCGGCCACTTTTATAGGAAAACCACAATAAGAAAAGATATTTTAAAGAAAGAAAAATGAGGAAATTTTCTTAAATTTTAATTTGTGGTTACATCAGAGAAAGCTTTTCCTGACAATTTAAACTAGATTATAATTTATTAAAAACATAACAATGTTAAACAACAACGTTTCATGAGTCATGATAAATAACACTACTACAACAACAACAACATGAATTTCTACAACAGCATCAACTTATCCAAAGATGTTGTTGTTTGGAGTGTTGAAGAATGTTGTTAGGTCAGGTATGACAGGAACCTAAAAACGGGAAATGTATAAATGCTCTGAATCATATTTTAGAGTTTTTCCACCACAGACTATGTGCTTGGCTTGGACAAGATATAGGCTATCAGCTAGCTATGTCAAGATTTTGTCTTTATATTAAATCAATTATCAATTAGCAAGTCATATTTTTAAAGGGTTGAATTTAAGAATTTCTACGAATTATTAAAGTTTTGAAAATTCTAATTTTGTTAAACAGAGTTTCTTCATGACACAATCTTACAATGTGTTCCAATAAACATGAAATGTCAGTTAAAAATGGTTTTTAACCATCTTTCCGTAATAAGGTTAAAATTCTTCATATCTAAAAAACAAAGATATCCGGTTTCCAAAAATGTTCACATATTGAAAATGACAGGACTCGAATTATTTCATGAATTTTGCAATATATATAGAAACTGGTCATTTTCTATTTTTAAAATAAGCGTGTTAAAGGGACTGTAAAGGAAAAATGAAAGGGGGTATAGGCTGAAAGCTAATCACTTTAGCGCTCGATCGCGGCCCATGAAAGTTATATCTAATGTTCCTATCTCGAGAAATTGATATACAACTGTGTCAAATTGATATGAAAATTAATATATATACAATTTTGTATAAAAGTAGTAGGTTTAAATAGATCAAATTCAGCAAATAAGCAACCAATCTGAAAACGATGATATCCCCGAGAAAGCTAATTATTACTTAGGTTTACTCCAATTCTAATTTTATATTTGTTATTTCTATTTTTAATAGATTTAACAGTATACTGCTCTGCCATTGGTGATAGTTCTGGTCACGTGATTTAAGTTTAAGATTTTCTAAATTTTACATTTATAAACTTTCGTATATTTTTAACAGAGTTTTATATCAATTTCTCGAGACAGGAGACATCAGATAAAACTTTCATGGGTCGCGGTCAAGAGCTAAAGTGATTAGCTTTCAGTCTATACCCCCTTTCATTTTTCCTTTACAGTCCCTTTAAGGAGACTGTTAGCGTAATATTAAGTGACCCTCCGTGCAAAGATGGCACTGGCCGATTCACAATTGTACCCTTTAACCTTTCTATGATCAAATATGAATTAAATATCATTGTTTTTGTACAAACGTTACATGCGCATTTCTACAGCAGAAGAACATGTAGGTCTTATCAGAAATAAACAATTTTTGACCTAGAAAAACGACCAAATCTTTTTTAATATTTATAAGATATATTTTAAGGGTAATGCTGTAAATCGGTCTATGCCATTTGTGCATGGAAAGTCACTTAAAATTACGCTTACGGTCCCTTTAAGTGGAAAAAAACTTTTTATGAAAAAAGGCAAATGAATTTTAACTGCAGGAAAAAGGGTCAATGAAGGTTGACCTGCCAAAGTCCTCCAGGTACTGTAGCGTTAGCTGATGTGGTATTCAGGCTTACTCGGTTAGTAAACAAGGCACTGAAATAATAATTCAGATATTACGCTATTTTACTAGACAATGTCTTAGACCTTAATATTTCAAACATGAATTATGTTGGATAAAATAATTCAAGTTTGATAAACATAAAAGTTTACACTATCCGGTTGCAGAGGTATAGTAGAACATTTCAGTTTGTGGCAAAAACTGAGTTCCTTTAGAGAGTTATAAAATAATAAGAAATGTGCATTAATGAAGGGAACCTTTAGACTTTTCATCATTTAAAGGAATTGAGTCTTTGCCACACACTCTAGTTTTCTAATTCATCTTTACAACCTGATTATTTGATCTAACAGAAATCATAGTTTTGAGTGACTTGCTAGACTGAAACAACAGGTGAAATATTACAAACAACTTCGCGCTCTTATTTAAAATTGTTCTTCTAATAGCTCACTATTTTTGTTTTTATATTGTTAATTGTACGAGTGACCTTAGCGCGAAGACTGCTGCTGATGTGAGTAGGATCGGCGCAAGGTCGCTAGGGGTCAAACTGCTAAGGTCTGGAACCTCTGGTAGAGCTACTGTCCGGTCACCTGGAAAAAGAACTTAATAAGCCTCCACATGACCCTAAGGTCAGGTCAGGTCCCTCAAAAAAATAACTTTCATCAATAACATCACAACAATACGTAGTTAACCATTTTGTAGTGACATTTTTTAAAAATGCACAGTTTTGTAAAAAAAAAAAACCGGCCCCCCCTCCCAAAAAAAACTGATTGTCGGGCTTGGTAATAGATAATGTTACTTGAAGTGATCCTGAAAGGGGAGAATAGCAGATTCACAACCAGGGGGGGGTACGTTCGCAACCCCCCCTGACGGACTAAGATTGTGAGGGAAATAATGTTCCCAATTCGCTACAATAATATTTTTAATTTATTTAATCCTTTGTACCTATTTTCAAGTTATTTGAAAGAATTATGATATTAAATACAAAAACAATGAACTTGTTATATCAAATCATAGATAAGAAAAATGTTGTATAAGGAACAAAAATAGGTAAGTTAACCAATGACAACTGTAGCATTACAGGTTTTTCATGATTAAGAATGAATAAGATATCCATGATTTTAAATTTGAAAATTACCCTTGTATAATATTGATCACCTGTATCCGGCACATTGTCCGTATAATCAACTGTATACCCTTCAGAGTTATCTACAATAATATAGTTATTTATTATTGTATTATTTCAAGAAATTAAGGAACCAACAATAGTTAAAAACTGATGTTTATTTTAGTGTTTAGGGAAACAGAACTAATTTTGTTTTTTAAGCATTTTCGAGTTCAGGTGGTACGGTTGATGGGCGAAAACCATTAATATGCTTAAAGCTTATGAGGCTTTTATTGCCCACGTTAAACTAATTCCATGTAATTGATTAAATATTATATTTTTCAATCCTAACTCTCATAATTCTGGTGTAAAATCAAAATCAGAGGAACTACAAGGTTACAAAGTCGTAACATTAATGTTAATGTTTGTTAAGCTGTGCTGATAATGTTTTTTTTGCCTTTTATGATTATTTTTTTTACATTATACAAAAAGGCATGTTTTGGGAATGGAATTCATTTTTGTTTTGCGTTTTTGTTGTTTAAAGTTTAAGTAAAACTTCACCTTGATAGATATCATTTTCTATTTCGTTGTAGTAATCTTCAGAACCGTAGAGCTTGTACTAAAAAATGTGATTTAAAGGGACTATACATAGAATTTCAGGTGATCCTAGGATTTTTGTGTTTTTATATTATAATCTATATATATAGAAAGTTTTAATCTCTGTCCGATCAAACTCGGGAACCCCAAGACCTCAAATTTTGATTAGGGAACTCGGGAAAACAACGGGAAGCTTGGTTTTGAGAGTTCAATAGCGAAAATTTAGTTTCCCGGTAAAATCGTTCAAGTGCGGGTAAAGTAAACTGCGGGAGTAACTTTTAGTAACCTGGGCAGCGCTGGGTTCCCAAGCTAGTTATTTATAAAGAAATTCCTATCTAGCGGGACAAACAAAAATCTTCTATGATGTGTTTAGCAAATTATATTCATGTTTGATGGTTTGAAAATTCTTTTAAATGTTTTTAAAGCTTTTCCCGATTGAAGCCTTTGCCTCAATTCTGGACCGATTTTTACATTTTTTTGTCATTTGTAAAGTTATTTCCTAATGTACAGATAAAGCAAATAAAATGAATTATTGTTCTATTTTACCTTTTGGTCCTCAAAACTCTCAAACCCAGGGGTTATAAAAGATCTTTCCTGGATCTTTTTAGAATCAAGGTATTTCTGCAGATAAGAAAAATTAATAACTAAAAAAGATTATTGTTTAAAAATATTTATAATGATAATTAGAAAAAATATTACTAAGATAATTACAGTGATAATTATGATATTTACCTGAATAAGCTTGGTCAGGTTGAAATCACTGGCCGGCGCTACCTAGAACAAAGATAATGATTAGCATATGTTGAAGGGAACGTGAACAAAGGTGGTTTAGGATTTGAGATAGGGGGGGGGGGGGATATTAGTTTTACCCCTCTATTGCTAAAAGGTTCTATTTACTGCCCTAATCCTACAAACATTACAGTTTCTTTAAAGTATAGGGTAGGCAAATGTCTTAATAATCCATTTATTTATCTAAAACGATATTAAAAAATTGCATTGATTGAACTTTATACATTAAAATTATACATTTCATTTATATTATTCTAATGAAGGGAGAATTATTTTTTATTTCCTGCTTTATTCTTAAATTATGCTAATTTTTCTTACAGGAAACTGCAAGTAAAAAAGGAATTTTTGTTTAAAATATAAAAGAACAATAAAAATATCCTCTTTTATTTCAATCTACAATATTTTAGTTTTCTTGGGCCGCTTGAAATAAAGGCATTTCAAACATTGATGTCCGAAATTGAGGCAAGTCTCTTTTGGTTGCATTGCCATTCTTCCCAGGTTGACCAGCCTGTCGATGGTGATAGATACCCTGTTTAATGAGAGCATTTAGCAATATTTTCATTTTATGGATATGTTTATTTTTACAATGTTGTCACTTTCAAAATGAGAAATGACTTTGTAAAAATCCACGGGGGGAATAATAATAGCAATAATAATAATATCAGCTTGCATGCACTTTAAACCTGTTCAATGGCAGCTGCGGAAGTTTTCTGATACTTCCCGTCATAGGCTTTCATTAGCCTATGCTGGTACAAACTATTGTAGTCCACAGGACTATTACTAGTCTGATGTTCAGTCCCAAACCTAGTCTGATAATCAGATACTCGTCTAAGTTTACTAGGTTTAAACTTTACACCAGCGTCCAGCTCACCTCACAAATAAAAATAAGAATTAATATAATTTACTAGTAAGGCGCTTCGGACCCACTTTTCTAGTTTAAACTTTAGCATTAAAATGATGCTTCTTAAGCCGCTATTTTTCTTATAAAAACTAATTTTCTTTCGCATAAATAATTTTGTGGTTTTCCACGAAAAAACTAGGCCAGATATGTTCTTTGAAGATCATTGAACACTGACAAACTGACATACAGACAAACTAATTGTATATATAATAATAAAAAAAAAGATTTTAATTTTAGTCTATGTTACTGCACCCAATGTACCCTTGGGTTCCCTTAAAAAAATGTCAGCCAATTCGGTCCAGCTGTTTGGCCAGCTANACTTGAAACAATTTTCAAGATTTCTTCAAAGTTTAGCATGACAAAAACTGTAAACTTGGCCCCCTAGCCTGTCCTAGCCGCAGCCTTTGGCCCATTAATTGTCTTAACCTAACCTAACCCCACATATCAGATATAATTGTATTAGTTTTGATAAATATGGCCACATCGCTTGGCCCCATAGCCTGACCTAGCCGCAGCGCTCGGCCCAGAAATTGTCTTAACCTAACCTAACCCCACAAATCAGATATCATTGTATTAGTTTGGATAAATATGGCCGCAGCGCTTGGCCCAGATATTGTCTTAACCTAACCTAACCTAACCCTACATATCGAAAATCATTGTATTAGTTTGGATAAATATAGCCGCAGTGCTTGGCTCAGAAATCGTCTTTACCTAACCTAACCAAATTGTTAGTTAGCAAATTCAAGTTAGTTACCAAATTTTCAGGTTACCAAATTATTAGTTACCAAATTGTCAGGTTACCAAATTATTAGTTACCAAATTGTTAGGTTACCAAATTGTCGGTTACCAAATTGTCAAGTTACCAAATTTTCAGGTTACCAAATTGTCAGGTTATCAAATTGTTAGTTACCAAATTATTAGTTACCAAATTGCTAGTTACCAAAATGTTAGTTACCAGATTATTAGTTACCAAAAATCCACCCATCATTATTTGATCGAACAGAATTCATAGTTTGAAATATCTAAGGTCTACGACATTGGGTTGCAAAGATTTAGGGATTAGAAAATAAATGGTTGTGACAAAGGCCTAATTTCTTCGTGACAAGAAGATGATATCGTTTATGTGCATTTCTTGATAAAAAAAACACAAATAAAATACTTTTCAAAAAAGCTAAACATACTCAAACATACTTTTATTTTTATTCTTTACTGTTCTCTTTAATAATTTATTGCACATTCGAACAAAAAGTAATTTTATTAGATTGAAGACTTATTAATGGATTTTTAATGATTCTGTTCCGTTTATTACCCAATACCTATTCTTTCCAAGATTTTTTTGGCGAAAATTCTAAAATTACTTTTTTGGAGAGCCAAGAATTGTTTTTGTGATATTTCTAAGAAAAAAGAGCAATATGGAAAATAAACTTGAGTCTATATAAGTTAGAAGTTAAATTACAATTTAATACTGTAAATATCTATTTATGTAATTTTATAAAAACTAGGCCTGATCGGTTCAGCCGTTTACGTTTACGTTTATCGATTACGTTTATCGATTTATAAAATAGATAAAGATATTTATTTCGAAGTATTTTTAGCCCATTTTTATACAAAACTTTAGAATTTATTCGGAAAAGTAAGGATTTGTGACTAAATTTTAAAATGTTTTATATCTGAGAATGAGATTTTGTTATACCTGTAATCAGGAGCATTAAAAGAACTGTACTGCACCATGTTTGTTTACGTTTGTTGAATAAAAACAACAACATGGCTTCAGCTTTTCAAGAGTATAAAACTGAAGTCTTGTTTTCCGGAATAATTTTAATAAACTGACAAATGATAAAGATTTATATTCATTCGGGTGTGGATGAATAAAAATATGAAAACATGATGATTCTTGGTATAAAATATGAAAACATGATGATTCTTGGTATATTTATGTCATTAATATACTTCTGTGTTATTTTTTAAAAAACTTTTTTTTACTAATTTGTTTGTTTTCTAATGTGGTTTCTAAGATATTTTTTTTTGCTTAATTTTTCCCATTTTTGAATTTTATCTGTACAGAGAAATTCAACTTTGGCACTAATTTTGCATCACCCTCCGTCATGGTTGTAGCGTAGAATTTGCATGGTTCACAATCTTATTGAGTAAACAAATATTTTTTGTTGATAAACACATTTTGAACAACTGTTGAGGGTTTTCTTTATGTTTAAGATTTCATTTTTAGCCCAATCCTTATAAAGACCATTAAAAGAATATATTCAGGGTTAGAATTTTCAAATTAACCTTTGAAACGTCATATTTGAAGAGTTTCAGGTCGTCTTTACAGTCTTATCCTTTGTGTGTAAACCTAGCTGTAACACAGGCAGCCGTATTACATTTGAATTTTCGAGACGGGTCGACCTTTCCGGTCCCAATTTGTACAGGATTATCCGGTGCAACAAGGTTGACGCGGTCAGACTTTACGCTTCATATAGGTTGAATTTACTTTTACTAAATGGGCAGATTACTTGATATTTGAAGAGTTTCAGGTCGTCTTTACAGTCTCATCCTTTGTGTGTAAACCTAGCTGTACGTAGCTCCATTCTAAAACCTAGAATCCGTGAATAGTTTAAGACACAATCGCCCTGTCATGCAACCCCCGGAAGCACAAATTCAATTACTTAAAATTGAATAAATCATTGTCTATCGTTGAAATCACCACGTTGTAAGGAGCAGCTCAGCTTCCTAACGTGCTATTAAATGGGTTAATGGCGGAATTTTGAATGACCCTCTATTCAAAGAGTTAAATGCCAGATTTACAACGGTACCCTTTGCTTGAGCAAACATATAAATATTCTTGTTTCTAAATACTGATAGTTTTTTATTGTGGTTTCTTGGTGAAAGTCACCTGCTGATTTATTCTGCTGACAAGGAAGGAAGTTGACCGAAGGCCCTTGTCAATTTCAGACTTGAATCTTTAAAAAATTTCAAATTTTGAGATAAATTTAAATATTGGATCAAAACCAGCTTTATCCTGATAAATGAGTTAAACTCAAAACTGTAGTTACCGATTCGTTTTTCCACCCTTTTGATATTATACAGGGCTATTTATTGAAACTCAAATTTTCCAATGGCCTTTAATTATATATTGATATTGCCAAAGTACGAAAAGATGAAAGTTTTTATGTGTCCTTCCCTCCCCGTTNTTATAAAAACCTTTACCAAGAGATGCATTTCAGCTAGATTTCTATTCTAAAGGTGTTAAATGTTCCGTGCAATTGACACCGTTTCTCTTGATGTAGAATACGGTTGACACCCACACTCTCAATATAATCCAGACATAATTGGTTTCTTAAATATGCATGCGGAAAATTGTTTAGGAAAACCTCAAAATTCTATATTCCCCCCCCTAACCCAAGTTTTCATCCCCAAGGATTAAAAAATGAAAAAAAATCTTATACAACCAAACTACTAAATTATTTTTAAAAACATTTTTTTAAAAAGTATCTTAATGTTTATTTAGTAAATTATAGGATCCGTCTAATAATGTCACCAGTATGCTTCACTGATCCAAGGTCTTTCTAATGGTTTATTATTTCAACATTATGTATAAGATTCAAATCAAAGAAAATATACACAATGTCGTTAGTCAAGGCGAACCATAATAAATGTATTCCATGGGGTTATACATAAAAGTTTGATATTTTAATGACAACCTTAAACTCTTAAATAATAAAGTTCTGAAATTGAATATCGAAGTTGAAGGATAAATTTGGATTAAAAATAAACACTGTCAAAATGGTTATATGCACTGTCAAGATGGTAAGGAGACAAAGATTACATATTCTTACTGTTTAGTAAGTAAGGTTGGCAAAGATGAAATATTTACGAGTTCAAGATGCTAAGGTGGCAAAGATTAAATATACACACTGTTAAGATTGTAAGGTAGCAAAGATTAAATATACACACTGTCAAGATGGTAAAGGGGCAAAGATTTAATATATTCACTGTAAATGTGTTAAAGTGGCAAAGATTTAATATATACACTGTTAAGATGGTAGGGTGGCAAAGATTATATATACACTGTCAAGATGTTAAGGTGGCAAAGATTAAATATACACACTGTCAAGATGGTAAAGGGTCAAAGACTAAATGTATTCAATGTCAAGAATACAGTTTTTAAAGAAGAAGAAGTGACCTTCCATTTAAAGAGGGGCATATACTCGTTTAAGAAAGAAAAATATTTACGAGTTCAAGATGTTAAGGTGGCAAAGATTAAATATACACACTGTTAAGATTGTAAGGTGGGAAAGATTAAATATACACACTGTCAAGATGGTAAAGGGGCAAAGATTTAATATATTCACTGTTAAGATGGTAGGGTGGCAAAGATTATATATACACTGTCAAGATGGTCAGGGGGCAAAGATTAAATATACACACTGTCAAGGTGGTAAGGTGGCAAAGATTAAATATATACGCTGCCAATATGGCAAGGTGGCAAAGATTAAATGTATTCAATATCAAGATGGTAAAGGGAACAGAGATTAAATATATACACAGTTAAGGTGGTAAAGGGGCAAAGATTAAATATATACACGACCAATTTGACAAGGTGACAAAGATTAAATATATACACTTTCAAGATATTAAGTTGGCAAAGATTAAATATATTCAATGTCAAGATGGTAAAGGGGAAAAGATTAAATATACACACTGTCAAGATGGTAAGGTAGCAGATAAAATATAAATATAGTCAAGATGATAAGGTGGCAAAGATTAAATATGCACACTGTCAAGATGGTAAGGTAGGAGATAAAATATAAACACGGTCAAGATGTTAAGGTGGCAAAGATTAAATATACACACTGTCAAGATGGTAAAGGGGCAAAGACTAAATGTATTCAATGTCAAGAATACAGTTTTTAAAGAAGAAGAAGTGACCTTCCATTTAAAGAGGGGCATATACTCGTTTAAGAAAGATAACATTTGACCCTCTATTAGATCAAAAATGTGGAAGATATATATATAAATTCTGAAGCGTATGTTTTATCCATTTTGTAATATCAAGTCTAAATTGAGTATAATGCTGTAATAACAAAATATTGAATTAATGATTCAGATAAAGGGTAAACTTAACTTTTTTCTCTCTCAGAGGCTTAACTTTTAGTAACCCGATCATATTGAAATAGGATGCCAGAACTACGTGAGAAAAAGTATTGGATTTTAGTAACCTGATCATATTGAAATAGGATGTCAGAACTACGTGAGAAAAAAGTATTGGATTTTATTTTATCTTTGATTAAAGTAAATTATGAAATTAAATGTTTGAATGCTTAATCATTATTATTAATTTTTCATGAAATTTAATGTTTGAATGTTTAATCATTATTGTTAATTTTTCATGAAATTAAATGTTTGAATGCTTAATCATTATTATTAATTTTTCATGAAATTAAATGTTTGAATGCTTAATCATTATTATTAATTTTTCATGAAATTAAATGTTTNAAAAGTATTGGATTTAATTTTATCTTTAATTAAAGTAAATTATCAAATTAAATGTTTGAATGCTTAATCATTATTATTAATTTTTCATGAAATTAAATGTTTGGAAATTTTGGAGTTAATTTTGTATTTAATTTTGTTTTGAAAATCTCTAAAAAAAGATTGGTCCCACTTTTAGAGGTTGAATTTTGGATTAGGTTTAGAAAAATATGAATTATTAAAACAAAGTATTTGTAGCCAAAAAAATTTGCCAGTCTCTCTCTTTCTCTTTTTTCTAAATTTTGCAAAAAGTTGAAAAAAAAAATTTAAAAGGTTTAGATATAAAAAAATTTATTTGTTTCTATTATGTTCTGTTACAAGTATAAAAGTTTGGTGGTTAAATTCTATAAAATATTCTAATACAAAAAACATCGTTTCTATAAATATAATACAAAAAAGCAATCACGCAGGAAAAAAATTTTGGGAAAGAAAGGAAAAAAAGAAGAATTACAGAAAATGCTGGAAACGTAGCTTAGGGGGTGTCGATATATCGAAATTTCGAATTCGATTAATATCGAAATATCCTTGAAATTCGAAGCAAATTCTGACTAGAAACTCTCATCCAAAAATATCGAAAAGATAGAAATTCGAGAAATAAAAAAAAACATGTTTTTCCTCGCGGGAATGCAGATTTGAACTAAAATGGAAAAATGTTTATTTTCTATTTTAGCTCACACCTGTTCTAGTTTATCTAAACATTATACATATTTACAATTTCTGCATTTGGCAGGTTGGAACAACAAAAATGGGATTAATTGTAACACTCTTAATAAATACTGTAGAGTACGTTACTGCTTGTGTGTGTAAGTAATAAATATCACATAAATATAAGGTTTAGTATTTACAGTTGAGTGGCGTACAGAGGGATCAAGTCGACTGTGTGCTCAAGGAGGAACCCTCCGCTGGGATTAAATCCCTGTGCACTAGCAGGACCCTGAGCTGGGATTATATCCATGTGCTCTAGCAGGACCCTGAGCTGGGATTATATCCATGTGCTCTAGCAGGACCCTGAGCTAGGATTATATCCATGTGCTCTAGGAGGAACCCTTAGCAGGGATTAAATCTTGAGTTCATCCAGAATAGAATCAGATTGAGATGGTTCAGGTTATATAATCCAGAATAGAATCAGATTGAGATGGTTCAGGTTATATAATCCAGAATAGAATCAGATTGAGATGGTTC